TCACTGCCCATTTCAACTCCTCTCCCCACTCCCCCTCTGTCATGTCCATCCTCGGCCTCTTTCAGTGTTGCAATGATTCAGAATGCAAATTTGAAGAACAACACCTTATCTTCCGTCTGGGCACCTACAGCTCAGAGGACTCAACACGGAGTTCTTTAGTTTCAAGTAACCTTCCCACCCATCCCCCAGCTCCCTTTCCAGCCCCACCTCCTCCCTTCCACTCTACCTACTGACCCTTCATTCTAGCCATCAACCAGATTCATCCATCCCATCGAACAACCAGATTGCACCGTTTCTCGGTGTCCACCTATCACCATCATTCCGTTAGCCTCGCCTCCCCCTACCCCCACATCCAGTCCTGAAGGAGGTAATAACTGACTTCTCCTTTCCTCCAGATGCTGCCTGGCTTGCTGTGTTCTTCCAGCTCCCTGTTTGTCTACCTTCAAAATTATGGTCTTGCTTATAGTTGCAGATTCTGGCCACAGGGTGTCTCTCCAAAGCTGTCTGCAAAATTTTATTTTCCATTTACAGCTTAGATCTCATTTTCAGCTTAATATTCCTATATTTCTCCCTTCTCGGTAGAATGTCCTGCCTTCTGGCCAACCAACACACTTGCATTCCCCAGGTAAACACTAAACTATTCCAAGAGTGTGGGCCTTGGACACTTTTCATGCCAATATCCCACAATGCTGCAATGCCTGTTTTTTTAATGACAACTTAGACAATGTTGCTGCTACTTTTTCAAAATGTATTAAAAAGTTCTGCAATTTTTTTTTCTCTATTCATTTGTGGGATGTGGGTGTCGCTGGCTGGCCAGCATTTCTTGCCCAACCCTAGTTGTCCTTGAGAAAGTGGTGGGGGCTACCTTTTTGAACTGCTGCAATCCTCCTGCTGTGGGTTGACCCACAATGTTATTAGGAAGGGAATTCCAGGATTTTGACCCAGCCACAGTGAAGGAACGGCGTTATATTTTCAAGTCAGGATGGTGAGTGACTTGGAGGGGAACTTGAAGGTGGTGGTGTTCCCATATATCTGTTGCCCTTGTCCTTCTCGATGGAAGTGGTTGTGGGTTTGGAAGGTGCTGTCTGAGGATCTTTGGTGAATTTCTGCCGTGCATCTTGCAGATAGTACACACTGCTGCTACGGAGCATCAGTGGTGGAGGGAGTGAATGCTTGTGGATGTAGTGCCAATCAAGCGGCTGCTTTGTCCTGGATGGTGTCAAGCTTCTTGAATGTTGTTGGGGTTGCACTCATGCAGACAAGTGGGGAGCATTCCATCACACTTTGGACTTGTGCCTTGTAGATGGTGGACAGGCTTTGGGGAGTCAGGAGGTGAGTTACTCACTGCAGTATTCCTAGCTTCTGACCTGCTCTTGTAGCCACTGTGTTAATGTGGTGAGTTCAGTTGAGTTTCAGGTCAATGATAACTCCCAGGATGTTGATAATGGGGGATTCAGTGATGGTAACACCATTGAATGCCAAGGGGCGGTGGTTAGATTGTCTCTTATTGGTGTTGGTCATAGCCTGGCATTTGTGTGGCGTGAATGTCACTTGCCACTTGTCAGCCCAAGCCCTGGATATTGTCCAGATCTTGTTGCATGCGGACATGGACTGCTTCAGTATCTGAGGAGTCACGAATGGTGCTGAACATTGTGCAATCATCGGTGAACGCCCCCACTTCTGACCTTATGATGGAGGGAAGGTCATTGATGAAGCAGCTAAAGATGGTTGGGACGAGGACACTACCCTGAGGAACTCCTGCAACTCCTGGAGCTGAGATGATTGACCTTCAACACCCACGACCATTTTCCTATGTGCCAGGTATGACTCCAACCACCAGAGAGTTTGTCCCCAATACCCACTGATTCCAGTTTTGCAAGGTTCCTTGATGCCAGCGCAGTCGAATGCAGCCTTGATATCAAGGGCTATCACTCTCACCTCACCTCTGGAATTCAGCTCTTTTGTCCATATTTGAACCAAGGCTGTAATGAGGTCAGGAGTTGAGTGGCCCTGGCTGAACCCAAACTGGGCGTCACTGAGCAGGTTATGGCTGAGCAGGTGTTGCTTGATAGCACTGTTGATGACACCTTCGATCACTTTACTGATGATCAAGAGGAGACTGATGTGGCGGTAATTGGCTGGGTTAGATTTGTCCTGCTTTTTGTGTACAGGACATACTTGGGCAATGTTCCATATTGCCGGATAGATACCAGTGTTGTAACTGTACTGGAACAGCTTGGCTAGGGGAGCGGCAAGTTCTGGAGCACAAGTCTTCAGTACTATTGCCAGAATGTTGTCAGGGCCCATAGCCTTTGCAGTATCCAGTGTCTCCAACCATTTCTTGATATCATGTGGAGTGAATCGAATTGGCTGAAGACTGGTATCTGTAATGCTGGGGACCACTGGAGGAGGCCGAGATGGATCATCCATTCGCCACTTCCAGCTGAAGATTGCTGCTAAAGCTTCAGCCTTATCTTTTGCACTGATGTGCTGGGCTCTTCCATCATTGAGGATGGGGATATTTGTGGAACCTCCTCCTCCAGTGAGTTCTTTAATTGTCCACCACCATTCACGACTGGATATGGCAGGATTGCAGAGCTCAGATCTGATCTGTTGGTTGTGGGATCACTTAGCTCTGTCTATCACTTGCTGCTTTTGCTGTTTGGCGTGCAAGTAGTCCTGTTTGCTGTCTTCACCAGGTTGATACCTCATCTTCAGGTATGCCTGGTGCTGATCCTGGCATGCCTTCCTGCACTCTCCATTGAACCAGGTTGATCCCCTGGCTTGATGGTAATGGTTGAGTGGGGGATATGCCGGGCCATGAGGTTACAGATTGTGCTGGAGTACAATTCTGCTGCTGTTGATGGCCCACAGTGTCTCATGGATGCCCATTCTTGAGTTGCTATATCTGTGCAAAGTCTGTCCCATTTAGCACACTGATAGTGCTACACAACACGATCAAGGTTATTCTCAATGTGAGGGCGAAACTTTGTCCCCACAAGGATTGTGCGATGGTCACTCTTACCGATACTAACATGGATAGATGCAACTGCAGCCAGCAGATTGGTAAGCAGGAGGTCAAGCATATTTTTCCCTCTTGTTAGTTCCCTCACCACCTGCCGCGGACCCAGTCTTGCAGCTATGTCCTGTACAGCCCAACTAATTTGATCAGTCATGCTGCTGCGGAGTTGCTCTTGGTGGTGGACATTGAAATCCACCATCCAGAGGGACTGACAATGCTCCCACTCCCATTATATTTCTTAACATCCCCCACCGACCTTCTCTCTTAACCCCTACATTCCTCAGCTAGTTTTTATAACATTACCTTTCCTAACCCTGCTCTAAGTTGAAGTGTCCAAACCATTCACTCTCAGTTACCCTCCTCTTTCATTCTCTTCTCTTCATTTCTTTTTTCCATCCTTATTCAGCAGTTTTCTCCCTCTTCCTTTACCTTTTACTTGTTTTGCTAACTACCTCTGCCCATTTTCTTCTTTTAGTCAGCATATATCAGCATTCCTTCATTTTCACTGGTTCAAAATCCTGGAACTCCACATGTATGAGGCCTTCACCATATGGACTGCGGAGGTCCAACTTGGGAGCCCACCATCACTCTCTTAAGTGCAACGACAGAGAGACTGCAAATGCCTGACTTGTTAGTGATGCCCATATCCACAGAATTTGTTTTTAAATTGAATTATCCCCCACATTTTAACCTCATCCGACATGAATACTGCCCTACTCCTTCAATATCTGGGTAATTTTGATTCTGGGCATCAGTGCAATGCACATTTTACAAATTTGGCTCCCTATTGTATGTCCTGCACACATTTCTCTTCCACTAGACTCAAAGTAAGCCAGGTCTGGCATTTGATAGGGGTTTTATTCTATAATTATCCATTTTACACCATCATACAAAATGTGTATGTTCTCCTGCTCCACATGCCACTCCGGGAAAGATTTATTAGAATTACATTATCACATTATTATTCCTATAAAAATATATATATATATATATATATATATATATACACACACACATACACACACACACATACACACATAAAATATGTATATATGAGAGTTTGGACTTTAAAACAGCAGAAGATTGGTGTGTGTTGAATTTATGATTGGCTTCCTAAACAAAACTAGGTCACATTCCTTTCTGAACAGTGACCTAATCTAGTTTCTGAGAGCAGGTGATTGTAAACACCTGGAGTGTTAATGGGAGATTGTTTATACTGTGGTAGTTTATGACATGGAGAGTAAATATTGAAGGCCACTTACTTGTTTTCAGTTCAGAATAGTCAAAGATTGATTTTTTTAAGGGTAGTTCAGAGGAAACCTGACTAGAGTCAGAAACAAGAACAGCTTCTCTCCTAGAAAGAAGCTTTTCAGAGTAGTTAAAGAAGTATGTTACCTCAGTAGAAACATTTAGTTTGTGCATGTTCCACGCCATTAGTGTTTGGTTAGGTATCTGCAGGTTATTGAAAGTCGAGGAAGTTTAAGGTCTTAGTTTGGTGAGTATTCATGTGAGACAACTCCACAGTTCTCAGAACAGAAACTGGGGAGAATCAGTTTGATAGAATTAAAGGGTTTAGTATAAAATAATAATTTCTCCAGATTTGAGTCTGTAATTCATACAATTAGGAAAAGATTGAAATTTTGTTTTGCTGCCTATTTTAAGATCTTTCTAACTGTGTTCTATATCCAGATAGCTTTTTTTAAAGCTTTTGTCTTTTGCCATAGTAAACTTCTGTTCGCGAAGAGTCATACAGCATGGAAATAGACCCTTAGGTCTAATCGGTCTACGCCGATCATATTCCCAAACTAAACTAGTCCCACCTGCCTGTGCTTAGCCCATATCCCTCCAAACCTTACTCACAATACTTCTTTACTGTTCACAAAATTTTTTAGAATTTTGGTTTTGTAACTGCAAAATAGTTCTTCAGCTTTGAAATCTTAATGAACTTAAAGTGTATAATAGTGCAAACATTACTTACCTCGACTTCACACATGAAGTATTCTTTTTTAGTGCAGCTTTATCTCCATTTAAATTCTGTTCATCCAAAAGCTTCGCTTTGCGCTCACGACCCACTATTTCTTTAGGAAACAGGCTTTTCTCATCAAAAGCTACTTTTAGTGCTGTTAATGTCAAGGGGATATAGAAAGTTTAGTGCAACGATATTGCTTTATGTTGGCATAAATAAGGATTACAACCTACAATTCCTAGTTTCAACCCACAATGAGACATTTACTCAGGTGCCTGGCAATCTGGATCACTTTTAAAGTATAAAATATTTTAACAATTCTTATTTAAAGTTATGAGCAATTGCCACTCTTTATAACCTTTCTAAAATTGTGTGGTAGAATATAATCACCTCTCACGGTTCAATTCTTCAGCATTTTTAGTCATAAGACTATAATCAACAATAAATTATTTAAATAAGTATAAATGATTTAAAGTACTAAGGCCCCAGTTTTAACCTGACCCACCAAGCTGGAATTGGGACAGGAGTGAGGGTGCATGTTGCCCATTTTAAATCCTGTCTGATTTTATACTTTGAAATCAATGGAGTGTAAAATTGAATGAGCCATAAAGCAAGCATCTGACTGGAAGCTATCCTGATCTCATTGGGTGGATTAGGTACAATCAGGATTTAGATTATTTGAATGGGAAGTTTTCCTCTATTATGCACTAACATTATTCACCAGCCTGAGCACCAAAAAAAATTTAAAAATTAACAACATTTTTAATTTTCTGTTCAGCACGAAACACAGTTCTCATAATCTACCAAAAACTCTTTTTCTTCACTGTTACAGAGCAGCATAGGAAATTTGCAGTGGGAATTTTAGTCACTTCTTTCATGCCACAAAACAATTTAAAATTTTATATCAATATAGTGGCTGGCACTAATGTACGACTTTGTACTAAATGTAAGTAGCCCTGTGTTTGAACTGGATACTCCAATACATTACAGAGATTTAAGGGACTATTATATTATTCCCACCACAAGAAAGCCATGCATTGTAAGTCTCCTGCTCTGTTCCAGAACTACATCTGGATCCTCTGTCTTCTCCTATGATGGGTTGGGTGGTGGAGGGAAGTATTTAATAAATGGGAGGGTCTCAGGTGGGGACGTTGCCACCTTCACACCTTCAACCAAATGATGTTTATGACAGGAATGCACAAGGACAGCCTGCAGCCCCACCATGAAATGGCCAATTAATGCCAGTGGCCAGGTGGGTTCAACCCAGAGATGGATAGATGAGTGAGAGGGGACTTGCTAGATGGAGAGGATGACAAGCAAACCTGTGCAGGCTCCCAGTCTGGGGGTGGAGGGAGGGCAGAGACACCTAGTGCCTGATTCAGAGATACAGCATTGGGAAAGGGAAAGCCTGCTACCAGCCCCCTCCCACATGCAACTCAGACCCTGCATTACCTTATCCATGATCATTCACCCATCTCCCTGGATCCAGAAACAAGCCCAGGCCTTAAGTGAGTCATATCTGCAGCAGCCACTGTCTCAATAGCCTCTTTTGCTGGTATCTGTCTGGCTTGCAGCTCTCAGTGGATGGACAGTCTTTGGGTTGGCCCAAAGTACTGCAACCTAACAGCACTTTGATAGGGAACAGTTGCCAGGTCAAGTAGTACTCGAGAGGAAGGGTTTTCCAGTAAATAAAGAAACAAATTACAGACGACATTTTAGGGGAAGAGGGCAGCACGGTGGCTCAATGGTTAGCACTCCTGCTTCACAGCGCCAGGGACCCATGTTCGATTCCACCCTCAGGTGAGCGTCTGTGTGGAGTTTACACATTCTCCCCGTGTCTGTATGGTTTCTTCTGGATGCTCCAGTTTCCTCCCACAGTCCAAAGATATGCAGATTAGATGGATTGGCCGTGTTAAATTACCCACTGTCCAGGGATATGCAGACTAGGTGAGTTAGCCATGGGAAAATGCAGGGTTACAGGTGTAGGATAGGGGAGGTGGGTCTGGATGGGATGCAGTTCTGAGGGTCAGTGTGACTCGATGGGTTGAATAGCATGCTTCTACATTGTAGGGATTCTGTTCTATGACAGAAAGTCTCATCAACTACAGTTGTAACATTCTAGAATGAGCTTTAATGATATTATTTAAAGGATTGTTATTTGTAATATTTTAAAATGCTTAATATAGCAATTAGAGATATACAAATAATACATACCAATGTGTTAAAGAGAAAATTTCAACCCAGATTTTCTGAAGGCCAGACAATCGCTATTTCAGTGCAGATGGGAGTTGTGCACAGTGGCCCTGTGGAATCCCCATCGCAGCATAATATGAATGAACTGCCCAGGAAATTGAAGATTTTGCTGTGCAATTACTCAACCTCTAGAACATTCTGGAAGTCTCCATTTAAATCGGAAAATTCAGCGTGTTTCATTGAAATTAAACAATTCGCTACTCAGGCAATGTTAGACTATTAAATACATAGTTTAACTCCTAAGTAACTATTAAATTAATCCCATACTCACCTCACCGTACACATCCCAGCTACAATACTTCCAGGCTCCTTAAAAACACCCCAGACCTTTCCCATACTGCCAGTCTCTACCATAACCCTCAACCCTGCTCCCCCACCTGACTGGACTGGGCCAGATCCTTCACCCTCACGCTACGGGAGCCAATCTGACCCCCTGCAGCTCAATAAGACTGACCACTTCTCGCCCTGGCCAGAGTGGATCACGCCTCCCATCCCACTGGTGTAACCAACCCAATCCCTGACCCAGTTCCAGACCTGACCCAGCTGGCATCTTACCAACTGATGCCCTACTCCTAACTAGCAGGCATCCTTCTCAGCAGGCCCCTATCTACCTAGTACCTACCCCCTACTTATCTGGCATCTTACCCTGATACCCTATGCCATTCCCAAACTGTACACTACCCTAGCACCCTACTTTCTTGACACCTTACACCCTGCCCATCTGACACTCTACACCCGTATCCATCTGGCACCCTGCCCATCTGACAACCTACACTCATATCCATCTGACACCCTAACCCTGCCCATCTGACCCCGTATACCCGTACCCATCCGACACACTACATCCTGCCCATCTGATACCCTACGCCTGTAGGCACCTGACACCCTCACCTGCACCCATTTAACACTCTACACCTGCACCCATATGGCTTCCTACACCTGTACCCATCTGACACTCTACAGCCATCTCCAACTGGCTCCTAGCTACTGTCGACTGAACATTACACTTACCTTTCATACTTAGTATTCAACGGTAGATGTTAAATTGGCTGTGAGGTCGTTTACATTTCAAAATATAACAGCAGACTGCTGTGAGAACGAGCCATGGTTTGCATTCCTCTGACAGTTCTGTGCTATAAAAGAACTTTTAGATAGAAGTAAGGCTTCTCATTCCTGAGGGAGTTGTGAGTTACATCTCCTCTCAGAAATGTCAAAAAGGACCAGAAATTGGTCTGGACGAGATTGCCCCTCTTCAGAAAATCCAACCCTTGATTTTTTTTACAGAATGATTTGATTGATTTTGTGATAATTGCTAGTTTCCAACTGGTACCTACGAAAAGTGCGACTAACTAGTATTGTACAAGGAGCTGACTCTTTCTGCTTGTTTCAATATTTGATGAAGTCAACATGGTTAACACTATCAGAAAGTGATCACTTACACTAATCAGATCAACACTACATATTGCTGTTGTGTTGTATTATACATTTTTAACTGTTACATTGAGCTGAAATTTCTCAGTCCCAGAACAAGGTGAGAACTGGCAAGTCAGTTAGGGAAAGATGGTGTGATCGGAAAAGTGAGATTCCTGACATTGAGAAAATAAAGTATGATTTCTACCCAAGTCTTTAGAGGTGAGATGGGAAACTCATCTCATTTATATACCATTTGCTATTCTCCCATGGGCCAGAGAGAAACTGAGTGATGGCAATCCCTGATGTGAAAGTTACAGCAGGTACCTGGTGGCTCCAGTTCATTGCTTGCTCCTTCAGGTCTCCTTCTAGGACATAAGTCTCCAGCATCTCAGGGCAAACTCCATGGACCGGGCAATCAAGGTGACAGTTGCACTAAACTTCTGTGTAACTAGTTACATCAAAGGATCCACTGGGGATTTGTGTGGGAACTCACAGCCCTTGACACACAAGTGTATCCGGAGTGTTATCGATGCAACTTGTGCCAGATCATACTGTTCCAATCTCATTCCCCATGATGAGGTCAGTGCCACAGCCCAGGCTTTGGCAACGTAGATGGCTCCCCGCAGCTGCAGGGCACTACAGACGATACACACATCAGACTAAAAGCACCATATCATTATGCAGCAGGCTTCATCCACTGAAAAAGGTCCCATCTGGTCAAATGCACAAGTCATCTGTAATAATCTGTATTGTATCTTAGAGGCATGTGCCAGGTACCCTGGAAGCTGCTTATATCCTCGAGAACTAATCATGTTTTTGGTTTGTTTCAGGGGCTGAATGACTTTCAAAGATGGTTACTAGGAGATAAGAGCTACCCTCTGCAACCATGGCTGACGACTCTGTTATGCAATTGCCTGACTAAGGCAGTGCAGACAAACAATGCAGCCCATGCTTCCACCAGGGCCATGTTGAGGCAAATGACTGGCCTCCTGAAGATGAAGTTCCAATGCATGGTGTGGAGGAGGTGCCTTGCAGACAAGAGTGTGCCACATATTGCAGCTACAGTTACAGTTACAGTCAATCAGCCTGGTGATGACATAAACTAGTACGATAGTCACAAATGTTGGTTTGTATTTGCAATGAAGTGTCATCATTAGGACCCGTGTGCCCTCAGAAGCTCTTCTTCTTCTTTTTTCTCCCACAACGTGTACTGTGAAGGGATATTCATGGCTGGCAGAAATTGAGCTGGTACACAGCTAGGGTTTGAATATGATGCCAGTGCCAGAAATCCCAGATCACTGGTGTGCACACAACAGTGTGTTGGGGAGGGGGGGCTCCAAAGAAGACTGGTGCAAACATAATGAGGTGAGCAGCATAAAATTGCATGAGAAAACTCACTTGAGTCAAAGAGAAACCTTCCATGAAACTTTCTGAAATTGATACGATCGAGTTATAGTAAAAATCAACCCATTAATTTTAAGTACCGTAGATGATTAATGGTTTGTACCTCACATTTAAGGTGTTACATGAACCAGATGCAAAATGTTAACTTATATGGATAGATATATGAATGAGTACAATATTTAAATAAAAACAATTAATTTTTCACCACTAATCACTTTACCAAACTCAAGCTATAGTTGAACTCCTCTTTTTTTTCCCAAGAATATACTTCCTGATTTTTAAAAAAAATTTTCTAACTTCAAATGAAAATTAGCCCATTTACCAGCTTGATGGTGAACTTATCAATTTGAAACTTGTATTTCTGCCACATTTTGAAATTCAGTTATAAATGCTGGAAAGGAATTCATTGCTTACTTTCAGAAAATGTAGGAAACATCAACTTTTCATTGTCAGCCTCCTCAAAATTTACATCAAAGTATTTGTTGGGATTCTGCAGAAAGTCAGGTTTTGGTACATCAGTGACTTTCTCCAAGTCTTCCATTTGTAGGCAACTAAATGTTCCTGTAATATGATACTGTATAATATTAAAATGCTACAATAAAGCAAATTAATTTCAGTTTCATATTCATTCATTAATATGGAAAATAATTTTAAGCAGACTCTTCTTTAAACTATTGTTTTGTCATTGTGATACTAAGAAAATAACAAGAATATTGGAAGAAAAGTAGGAAATCAAAGTTAAGTATTTTGAATTCTAATCTACAGTCAAAATGAGAATTACTAATAGGTTAGATTCAATTTAAAGGAGAAACTGCAGTGATACAGCATCAATCAACAATTCATTTGAGTTGCAGAAAGTGGAAAAAAAGTGTCATCTAATGAAGATTATTTGCTTATTTTTACAAACATATGTTTTATTGGCAGTTTTGGACCGAAGTTACAATTTGTATGAATCTGTTTTCCAACTTGCAATGCTTCAATAATGCATTTTGTTCCTTATCTCTTTCACAATACTGCTGTACTGCAGTAAGTATTTTGATGAATGTATGAATTTTCCATGATTGATACAACTGTGAAAACGAGAGGAAATACTTTAAATGTATGGATTTTTATGCGTTCCATGAAATTGCCAAGTCTAATTTTATAGCAGTAATATACACCTGAATGTGCACAAGAGCAAGCTATGAATTTGGAGATTCAAAATGGTAACTTGAGCAGATAACGTCAAAATTGCATTTTAAATTTTACCCAGTCTTCCAAATTTGCCATATTAATATTGTGCATGGTTAAACAATGGTTGGAATTGGTGATGTAATGAGCTAATTAATATTCTATAAATGACTGTAATCCATTAAATTTTTTAAATGAGCCAGTGAAATCTGAACTAGTCAGTGATCAATTTTAAAATAATTAACTTGGGTCTTCATTTAATACTTTCTTCAACTGATGAACATGTCACCATAAATTTAAATACAATCACAGCTGCCAAAGTTACAGACTGTGTATCCTGGTCAAATGCTTTCAATTATGTGTTTTCTTTAGCAAGAATATCCTGAAAGTAACATTATATATTATGTTTAATAAACTGAAAAATGCCTATGCTCATTTGAAATAGCTATTCATATCTTTTAAAAAAAAATTAAGTTCTTAAAACGTAATAATGCAAACTTTCTCATAATATCCTGTCACAAATTTACTTTACGGGATATCAATCTCTTTCCTCAACATTATTGCTTTAGTTGTGACTTACTAATTTTCTTCACTTGTAAGAAATCTTAATGGATCATCCCATACATAATACTATGTAGAGAAGTATAAATTGATGTACAGAGAGATTATGCTTACCTATAGGGCTTCGCAATTTGCCCCAAGCAGACAACCATGGTCTAGGTTTCTTTTGGATTCTGTTTTCTCTAAAAATGTTACCTAAAATTGTACTTTTCCATATGTTCAACCTAAAAGAAAATTGTTGGTAATACTCAAAGGATACATAAAATGTTAAGTTTTATATTCGACACTATGCATTTTCCAACATTTCTTTAACTCATCTTAAAACCGTTATCCATTCAAGAATTTATACTTTCAGGGAATATTCATTTCTCCTGTTTAAAATGATCATATGTCAGTTGCATCTTAAGAATAACTTTGGTATTTCATTAATAAAAATGTTTGAAATGTAGAATAACTTTCAATATGGCTAGTCAAGTATTGATTTTGTAAATGAAAAACAGGAATGGTGAAAGATATAGTTTGGGGGCAGATGCAAATGAGAATAAACAAGTTAATGGGAATGTCCCTTTATCTCAGGGAAATACAAAGGTTTGCAAGTTACTTTACAGGTTATGTAAAGCCCTGGTTAGAAACCATTTAGGGTACTGCATTCAGTTCTAGACATTGAATTTCAGGAAAGATATTATGGTCTTGGAGGTGCAGAGGGGATTCATCAGAATGATTCTTGATCTAAAAGGGTTAAATTTGCAGACCAGATTGCAAAGACTAGGCTTTGTAGTTTGTTGTATACAAAAACATAAGTAGTGATTCAATTGAGGAGTTTAAAATGATGCCAGGTACGAAGAGATCAAATATTTCCTCCACTGGGAAAGTCCAGAGCAGGAAGCATAACTTTAAAATTAGAACTAGACCATTAGGGGCAATATCAGGAAGGAGTTCTTCACACAAAAGGTAGTGAAAATCTCAATCTCTCTCTCTCTCCCCCAGTCAAGTGCAAATGGCAAAATCAAGAATGATAGACTTTTTGTAATTGGCAAAGGCCTTAAGAGATATAGAGAAAAGCAGGTAGTTGGAGTCAGGTCACAGATCAGCCTTTTTCTAATTGATTACAGAACATGCTTTAGAGGCTGAGATAGTAGGAACTGCAGCTGCTGGAGAATCTGAGATAACAAGGTGTAGAGCTGGATGAACACAGCAGGCCAAGCAGCATCAGAGGAGCAGGAAGGCTGACGTTTCGGCCTAGACCCTTCTTCAGAAATGCACTGTTATCTCTATCTCTCATGCTTTAGAGGCTGACTTGCCTACTCCAACCAGTTTTCTTCTGCTATGGTGAATTTACCTGCTCCCGTAGTCAATTTTCTCCTCGGCAACGGGGATGCTGTGTTTCAAAACTGCTAGATGTTCTTCTCTGCTCACATGCTTCTGACCCATGGTCTTCTCACATTTGACTGTTTTGACTGGTATCTTTGTAACAGAGGGAGGTGAACACTCACCAATTCGCCAATGTTCATCCTAAATTCAGTACTTCAAATTAGTTATGTTTTTAAAATGCACTCATTTATTTTTTAACGTTGAAGTGATTTGGCAGGTAACAAATCTACATTTAATTGCTCATGAAATAACTGATCTAATTTCCTCATCACTTCAGTAACCTACCCGAAATGGTATTAATTTTTCCTTTGTGAAAGCAGTTACTGGAAAATATAATTTATTAATATTGCCTATGTCCACTGTGGAGATATGTTTCTTCAGTTGTCTCCAATAAGTGACCAATAAGTTTATCATTGTGTGATATATATGTATACAAGGTAACTAAGTACAGTGAACACTGATTTCATTGGATCTATCGGCACAGAAGGAAGTCATTCTTCCTTCAAACCAAATCTGTTCCACTTATACTCAAGTCCAGGTTATTTATATATAAATCAGGGTAAGCAATGATCTGAACACCAATTGCTTGACCCTAATGCATACTTTTCTCCTGTCAATAAAACATGTACCAAATTGCCACCAACCCTTTTTTCAGAACATTTTCTTATTTAGCACTTCTTCAAATGACTTAGAAGAATAAAACTGGTATTGAAGGAAAATACATGGTTAAAAAATAACCTACCATCTTTTATAAAATGTAATTGAAACACCAAAATTTTAAGCCATGTGGATGACAATAAAGTTCACAAAAACAGAGAGACATTGCACTACTATTCTAATGTATATTACTGAAAAAAATTACTGCAGGCATCTATGTTTTCCTCATGGGGTAAATATTAAAAATAACCAAATGAGTTAGAATTGTCTTTGAAATATTAGATGCGAAATATTTCTCTCAATTATTGAACATTATAACACAGAAGTAGATTGGAAACACTATGAATTGTTTACTTTAATAATTCACAACTCCTATTAAGTTTTTCCCACAAAGTATAAGAGACGTGTATTTCTAGTTGGAAGTGATTAAATCTGTGAAATTAACTCCAGAGAATGAAATAAACTAGGCAGGTCTTTTGCTTCCTTGAGTGTAGCAGATTCTACACACTTGCTGTCCCATTAATAGTCTTATGACATCAATATATGTAGGGAGCATGCACATATTAGTCAGTGCACAGAAAAGTGCTGACTCACCCAAGAGAAGCTATTGGCATTGTTTGCTCTTAACAACTGGCAAAATGCAAAACAGCTACTCATGTAAATACTTCTGTTTCATTATGCCAAAGAGAGTAAAACAATACAAGACCAAGTTTTCTGATTGTCATGAGCACGTTATACAAATAGCATTGGATTGCATTTTGAAAACCAAGGAAGATCATGGCACTGCATTCATTTCTTAAACTGCATACACACAACCAACTTAATAATTGAAGAAAAATAAAAGAAACAATAATCTGTACCTGTCCAAATACACCAATCACTGATCCAGTAATGTCACTTAAAACAATACTGCAGTCAGCAGACGCTGAAAGAATTAGCAAATGGCCATCCTGCACACAGGTTTCAAGGTGACTGATACAATCATTATGAGGTTGTGTTGCTACCACCATTGGTGGAACTTCACTAATTACAGTGTCACTGGAACACAAACAGTATTCCTGATGAGAAACAAACAGAGGTACAATTAACAGTTAACTTCCTCACAACAGGTCATGTAAAACAACGTTGTGTTCTAGTTGAAACGAATATTAATACTTGAGTAAAACCTCACTCGTCTGCCCAGAAACAAGACAGAAACAATAATACTGCATGAATATTTGTCATTCTGGGATGGAATGTCATTAAGAAAAATGAATTAGATGTAGATTATCTAAGATTGAAATTACCTACTGAAGAATAAATCATGTTTATAAGCAGCTAGCAAAACAGCTGTAAGTTTTTGGTTCATGTCTAGTTTAACACTAAAGTTCATAAATTTACGAAAAATTTGCTTCTGTTGGATTGTGCTTGTAAATATTCAATTTGGACAACAGCGATGTCAATTCATGCACGTATCTTTAAGGAAGGAAGACAGCACCCTAAGCTGATATAGAAACAAGATTCAGGTCAAAGTTTCCATTCTGGCATCTTAAATAAAGTTGCTATGGTGACAGCAAATGTGAACTTGCAAATTTTCTTAGCTTCTGAAGGGATCCCAAATGATTTGTAAATTAGCTAATGTGACACCTTTTATTTAGGAAAGGAGACAGAAAGCAGGAAACTATACACCAATTAGTCTAATATTGGCCATACAGAAAATGTTAGAATCCATTGTTAAGCAGGTTATCACAGAATATTTAATAAATCATAACAGGATCAGGCAGAGTCAATGTCATTCTTGGAAGGGAAACTGTGTTTAATGTATTGTAGCTCTTTGGGTAAATAACAAGCAAGATAGATTTGAGGAAACTTGTAGATGTGATTTACTCAGATTTTCAAAAATCATTTGAGAAGGTGCTGCATGAAGGTACATGGAGGGGTAACATATCTGCATGGATAAAGTATTTATTACCAATCAGGAAACATAAAGTAGGATAAATGAGTAAGTTTTTGGTTAACACGGTGTAACTGGTGGACTGTCACGAGGATCAGAGCTGGGACCTCAACCTCTTAAAATTTGCAATAATAACTTGGATAGAGGGACCAAAGCCAAAATTTACCAATGGCACCAAGATAGGTAGAAAAGTAATTTGCACAGGGGTATAGATAGCTTAAATGAGTGAACAAAAATTTGGTAGAGGGGGTGTAGCATGGCTAAAATGTGAAGTTGTCCATTTTGGCAGGAAGAAATGAAAAACCGCACCGTATTTAAATGGCAAGAGAATGCAGAACTTGGTGGTACAGATAAATGAGCACGTGTGGCACATGTATGTGAATTCAATTAGCATCTAGCCTATGTGAACTTGTAAATTTCCTTAGATTCTGAAAGGGTCCCAAATGATTTGTAAATTAGCTAATGTGACACCTATTATTCAGGAAAGGAGACAGAAAGTAGGGTCCAGCAACTGAGACCATTTTCGGAGCATTTAATTCATTGCTTAGAAATTAATGCGCACAGAAATAAATTAATGCACATAAAGCAAACAAAGGTTCTTTACCTGTATGTTCCAAACTTTAATATGGCCATTCACATCTCCAGTGATAAGATAGTCACTTTTTTTATCAACTGTCATAATAATGGATGCTGCATTGGCATGGGCTTCAAACTCAGCCAGTAGAAGGCTTTTAAAGGTATTCCAAAAGCGAACAATTCCACAACCACCGCAGGCTATAAGGTTTGCACCACCTGAAAGATTTTATAAAGTCCAAAAATATTAAGTTATTGTAAGAAATCCACACTTAGCTGCAAATCTAAATAAATACACAACTTGAGCCATCATATTTTATATGCTCCTTATAAATCTTCAATGTGTATATTGATAGAAGTTAATAAATTATTATTTTAAAAAGTCATCATCTAAGATACATTTTGTTTTCAAAAGTTACCATACTGGTGTTTCTAAATCCCCTGGAATAGAATGTTCTAAATATTTCTCCACAATTAAACAGATTAAGTAAAGACTATTTTGAAGTGTTTAACTCATTGAATGCCTAGTAAATACTGTACATTTATACTTTATTTTCTGAATATTAAAATGCTAATCAAAATGAGTACTAAATATAAATTACAATTTTCAAATCTAGGATTAATTTTAAAATTTCAATACTGTTTTTCTATGTGCTGCTTATGCTGATTATAAAATATTTCAGAAATGCATAGATTCATCAATTAGGTAGTATCTAATATCTTATATGAAGACAGAAATCATCATATATTGACTACTTGGGCAATTACAACTACGGCAGATCGGAAGCAAATCTTGTATCTAGTTTAATAATGTTATTCTCATGAGCATCTGTTACAAATAAGAAGTCACATGTCACACACATAACTGCAAGCATGAAAGCACTGGATTCTCAAGTAACACCTAAAATTATCTGTCAGCAGTTAGCTTCAACAACTCAATAAAATTAGTGGCAATGACTTCGTTATCCTAGAATAGTGAAGGCAACTGTCCAAGAATTCCTCTTCCTTGTTTCAACATGCTCTTGTGACAAATCAGGCCAAAAGTACTTTTAAAAGATTTAATGTTGAACCATCCTACGCTTTTGGCCAGTTAGAATAAACACTGCTAAATGAGATTTACCCAAGGATTATATACACCCTATGGTATGACTTTGAATTTCATTATGACCCAGGGTGAGGCTGCCAAATTCAATATGTTCCCAGATAAGGTGCCCCAAACTGTTAAGCTTCCAAATGAGAAGAGATAAAATTACTCCCCTTCCTTATTCACCCACTCCCTTGTTTAGTTGCAATAAGGTTAATTTAAAGAAAAGAATAAAAATAAAATACCATGTATGCTGGAAATCTGAAATAAAAGCAGAAAGTGCTGGAGTAACTTGGCAGTTCTGGCAGCATTTGTGGAGAAAGAAACAAAGTTAATGTTTCAAGTCCAGTATGACTCTTCTCCACCCACTGAATGGGCAAGTGGCCAATCTGTAATTTTTACCATATAATATTTATTATCTGTGTATTTATTTAAGAACAGGATGGAATATTGCTTTAAATAAATTGATATAAATTATATAATCTTGTTTTTATATTATTTTCCATTAAAGTGGCATTGTTATTCCAAATAAATGAAACTGCTGTATTATTTATAAATTGATTGAAATTTAGAGCAACTAGAACACAAAGGAAAACAGACTACGTGTAAATACAGCAATAGTGCACACACAAAAGTCATTGGGATTTCTCACCCGTACTAGAGACATTCTTCCTGCCTTCAAGAAAGTATAGTCTTGAAACTATGTAGTTGAATTCATCATCCTCGTTGTCAGCATTAAATAATGAATATCTGTTTGTAACTGCAGAAAAATTATCAAGAGCTTGAGGTTCTTCCTGCTGGTGTAGTTGATTGTCTGCAATGACTTTTTAAAAAAATAAATAAGTCAGGAAAGCAGAGCATATATTTATTTATTTATGGCAAAAGAAATTACCACATAAAAAGTATTTTAATGAATACACTGTAGAAGTTAACATTTCAAAAAAGTAACAAGAGATAAAGTGATCATATTTTTTGATGAATTTAAGGGTATAATTTGATAATTTGGAATTTTATTTATTGCATAGTTTTACAAATTAATTACTCGATATTAAATTTTAAGTCTTATTTAGTTTCAAAGTGTGAAGAACTCTAGAGCAAGGCATGTTTGAAGGATTCTGCACATTGTTACCATCTCATGAGAACAAGATACTAGTCAGGCAGCAAGATTGTGGAAAGATTTTCTGTCAGAGCTGAAGACAGCATTTGAATAAGCAAAAGCAAATCTGAACCTTAAGGAGTGAATGTGTTCAAATCACATATAAAGGATGTGAGTCATACAGTATTACTCTATGACAGTATGAGTCATCTATCATTATTGCCACAGTTACGTATGAAGATTCTAATACCAATCTGATATCAAATGTTGTTAAAACTGTCGAACATAAATCATTCCCATCCACCCCAAAGCTGGAACTGATTTTGTATCTATTGTATCCCCCCCAATAGTACCAGGTACTCAAGGACTGCAGCAATTAATTCCTGCCCACCCGAAACTGACTGTGTATCCTGGACACAAGTGTCAGCTGAAGCCTGCTTTGAAAATTCCAATGAGGCCTACCGTGCAAAACTTACCAGGGTCAATGTAATTCAGCTGCACAGAAACACTCTTCCTGCCTTTGAGAAAAGCCACTACCGAGGAAAGCCTTACCAGGGTTTTGTTTGAAAAGCAAAAGGAATATTCCTTGAGGTGGTATCTCAGAATCTGTTTGACTAATGAATATTATAGATCAAAGGCACTGGATAGCACAACCTGGTGGGTGGGAATTAATTGCTGCAGTCTTTAAGTACCTGGTTTTATGGGGTGGGAGTTGGGGCAAGGGGTGCAGTTGGCAGAATAATTGTAAAAGAAAACAGCCTTATTAAAGTTAATGTTCAAATTAGACAGGGCTTGCGTGATTGAGTGCCCATGGCACTGAGATGGGGCAGTCTGCTAAGAGCCCTAACTGACTCCTGACACCTGACACCTGCCCACCATCAACCACACCTCTTCAGCCATCACTCACTTGTGGCCTGGGATCCAGCAACAATCTTCGAGATTGGTGGGTGTGGAATCAATGCAGCCATATTTCCCCACTGATGTCGCTATTCGGTAGAACAGCCAGCCTCTGATTGCTTGGTAGTACTCAGAGTGTGGTACTGGTGTTCCTTAAGCCCAGGGAAGCCTCAATACCACACAATTAAGTGACATTTAATCCAGTAGGCCTGCCCTAAAAGAGGTGATGCAGAGCTCCCTCCAGTTCTCCAACCAATGGGCAAGACCGTCATCACATCCATTCACCCATTAAATCCAATCTATACTACCACTGGAATAGAAGTTGCACTGAAAACTTAAGTTAGTTAGAAAGTATTACATTTACCTGATTCGGATTTCAGAGCTCTCTTCAAGCATGGGTGAAATCTAGACGATGCTTTTTCAGAATTATTATTCCATACTACAATCTCCCCGTCATAACTGCCTATTGAAACCATATTGATATGTTATTCATAGTTAACTAAATACAGATTCCTTCACAAAATACTGTGTCAACCATGCACTGTGTTCTGCTTTCATTGGCTAAATATTAATTTAGTTTTCACTAGATGATAGAAAAGGTAATTATGCGGATGTTATTGGATATGGATATTGTAATCAAGTGTACAATTATTGTTTATTTGTGAAGCGTACACAGGGCATGATATTACCTTTGTCACAGGAACAGAGGGTGTCATTTGTGACTTTGGTAAGAGTCTTTTCGCTAATGCGCCCTAGTGGAAACCCGAATGGAGCTATTCAAACATGAAGCTCCAGGAAAGATGAGCGCAGATTTGGAAGGCTACAACGTATTCAAGGACATTGCAGAGGAAAGCGTTGTTAGAGATGGGTGGTACTTTGCAAAGAACGGCGGTGACAAAGCATTTCTTTTTGAGAGGAGTGATGACAGCAGACTTAAAAGGAGGAAGGAACAATAGCTGAAGAGATAGAACCACAAACAATGTTGGCTAAAATAAAAGCCATAAAAATACTTTGGCTATAAGAGCAGGTCTGAGGCTATGAATTTTGAAGCCAGTAACTCACCTCTTTTCTCCATAAAGCCTGTCCATCATCTACACGGTTCAAGTCAAAAGTGTGATGGATGACTCTTCACTTGCCAGGATTAGTGCAGCTCAAACAACACTTAAGGAGCTTGACACCATCCAAAATGAAGCAGACTGCTTGCTTGCACGCCATCCACCCCATCAAAATTCACCCCTTACCCTCTGGGAAGCAGTGATAGTGATACGTACTACATATATGATGCATTGCAGTAAATCTCCAGGTTCTTTATGCAGCACCTTTCAAACCTGCAACTTTTTACCAGCTGGAAGGGCAAGGGCAGCAGATACATGGAAACACCACTACCTGCAAGATCCCATTCCATGTCACACATCAACCTGGTTTGGAAATACATCGCTTTATCTTCGGTATCACTAGGTCAAAATCCCAGAACCCATTTCTTAACAGCATGTCTCTACACCCCAAGGAGTGCAGGGATTCAAAAAGGCTACTCTCTGCCACCTTATCCAAGGCAATTAGGGAAGGGCTTAAATGCTGGTCTCACCAGTGATTTCTGCATCCTATGATCCAAGTTCATAGAAAGTAAGGAAAAGAATAATTTAATCCACAATAATATACCATATCTGATTCGTATAACACCAGAAATTATTTATTTCTAATTTGTATTCCATGAAATGTCAGGAGATGGAAGAGCTGAAAAATCAAGTCAAACTTATTTGTATACACAAAATGTAATAAAAGAGTAAACCTGTTACAAGGGTTTGAGGTGGTAAGAATGCTGCACAAAGGATATCATTTTGATGCTGGGCTTTCCCCTTCCATTCTGAAGGCTGAACAAAAAATTCAGTAAGTGTGTCCATTCTGAAGACAGTAATTATTCTGGAAGAAATAATTGAAATATTTGCATAATGAAGCAAATCTACAAACTTACCTCCAAGTTAGAGATATCTCCAACCAATAGTATCGTTATATATCCACTAGTTAATTCATACAAGAAATGGGCTGCTGTGTCATGCAGTTATATAATCATTACCACTCCAACTTGTCATGTCATACAGTGACTTATATAGAAACAAACATTATTTCCCAGAATCTCAAGTTCTCAATCCTGACTTTATTGCATGACCCCAATGCAGAAATGTGGAAGGGTTGATGTGTGAGTTGTTCAATTGAACTTTTATGGTGGTTAGCAACAAGTTAATGTTGGTAAATGACTAGGAAACGCTTGTGCATCTGCATTAACTGTAGCCAACATGCAGAGTATATTTCATCCGAGGAAGTGTGTTGTACTTGAACATAACAATGATAGTGATGGACTGAGCTGCAGCACTTAAAATACATGGCAGTATAAAGTGGATCCACTGCAAAGTCCTCAAAACACCTGGGAAAATCCACTCTCAGGGGGCAAATAAAGAAAAATCACCCCAGTAATGAATCAGCATCAGTTACTAATGCAGGAGCAAACCTGCCTATGATGGGTAGAGTAAATTGCAGAAGGCAACAAGGTTGGAGGACGTGAAGGCAGGAATGGGAAGCAAGGCCAGATAGATAAATGAGACCAATGATCATGGTCAATGGAGTTAGGGAGGGAGGATGAGCAGTTAGGGGCAGAGTCTTATATGGCTCAGTGAGACCGAGGGACAGGGAGTGAGGGTAGGGTCCAGGGAGTGAGGTCAAGTGTATGTGAAGTGACAGTTATGTTGCAAAGTGGAGAAAGATGAACTGCAGGGAGGAGGTGCTGGAGAGATGCAAAGGGGTTGGAAAGGTGGAGAGGTGTGGTTAGGACAAAGAGGGACTGGAAAGAAGAGTGAGGGCCTGCAAATGGTGGGAAAAGTCTGAAAGGGGAGAGAAGAGTTTTAGACATTTCAACAAAGAAATATTCACCCAACTAAAACAGAAAAACTGAGGTAATGAATTCCTTGCAAATTATCATAGAGTCTTTAGTTTGAAGCTACAGGAGTTCAGGAGCCACTAAATGGCAGAAAATTCACTGGAGTCACACATTCCCTTTAATTTTCCTGCTGCTGCGTGGAGATCCTTGAGAGCTATGCACGATGCCAGCATGCAGAACCGTAAATCAATGTATCCACGTGCTGATCAGCGTGCATGGACCCTTCAAATGTTTACATATTAGGCCTAAATATTATGAATTACTTGAGTGACTGAGTTAGAAACAGGCATACAGCTTTAGCTTTGACCTCATCAGGCCACGGTAAGTTGTCTACAGAAGTGCATAAGTTTCTTTTTTAAAGAAACATTAGTTGCTAACTTATGCCTGCTGTCTTGTGCCTACTTAAATACTGTGGTGTCAAGGAACTTAATGTTTTTCTTGTATATTGTGGCTTTACATTTAAAGGAGTTGTGACGATTATTGAGGATACTAATGAATTATTATAAATCTGCTTCTGTGAGAGTCCAAATCCTCAATATGTCCTTGAAAATACTGAAGGCATTTTTACTAAGTGGCTGCATTACCAAACAATAAGTTTACAAAACTGAAAAAGGAGTTTGAAACCCAAAAGGGAGAACCCAAAAATCAAAATGTAGCCTGAACAGAAACACTTGGGGTTAAGTAATATTTTGGCCTGCACTGTGAGACTTTGCAGCAACAAAACATGTTATAACATTTTCTAAAACGTTATTACCTCAAAAGCTAAGTGAAAAAATCTCAAAGGAGCAGAAAAAAAGTGGATTAGTTCCAGAAGGCATACATTTCTGATTTTCATCGTTTGACCATGACATACCTTTCCCAGCCTAATACCAGAATAATTCTTTTTAATATCAGGATCTGGGAGATATCAGCTGCTTGATCCCTTCCTGCATTCAGTTTATGATGGCAATGGCCATTGAAATCCCAAATCTGTCAACACAAGGTACAACGTAAGGGATTATAGTTTCATGAATGAAGTATTTTATATATTATGAGTTTATTACTTGTGTTTTGAAATAGAAGGACCCAGGTTTCTTTTTGAAACTGCATTGACATTATTTAAGGTTAATTGAATTTAATGTCACACAGAAATTTTAGTTAAAATAAAAAGCTAGACATCTGAAATAAAACCAGAAAATCATTAACACAGCAGACCACGTGGCAGCTGTAAAACGGGCAAGTTATATTTTATGCCCGTTATTAGAACCCATCATTCTGATGCAAAGAGCAGAGCAAAAAATGCATAAAACTCACTTAGTTGTTGTTGAAAAATAAATATGGCAGTTTACATTCATATAATTCTAAATATGCATGGCATCACAATGTCCTTTACAGAGGAATGAAGAAATAGAGAACAAATCACTGAAGGGAAATTATGATGAGACTGAAGTATGCCAAAATGTTTCAAGCAGGTTTAAAAGAGGACAAAGTTGGAAGGATTTACCAACATAGATCTTGCGAACAGGACTGGAGAGACTGAAAGGCTTGTCAAGAATCATGGGATGAAAGGGCAAGAGTTGCATACAAAATGGAGGAAAGTGAGGGGTTTAGTAAATTATAACAACAACGCAATCAGGATGAGGGCATGAGAAGAGTATTGGGAATGAGTATTCAGAAAGGAAGATATTATTCAATAAACCAATGTTCTTTGCTTATATATTCTAATCCAAAGGTTAAGTGGATTAGCAGTCTTGCAGCCACCATTTCCATGACTGTCCTGCTATCTAATCATTAGGTCACATGCTACGTCACAGTAAATGAAGCTTGTAAACTTACAAGTTCTTTACATAACCAATTAACTTAACCTCATAGTGACAGGAATGGTCATTTAGAAGACGATATATAGCAAATCTTACCTTCACTGTTCCATCAACACTTGCAGTGAAAAATTTGGTCTCAGAGGCATCTAGTGCCATTGTAGTAATCTCAGAATTGCCATGGCACCCAGTAAATTGCTTTACTTTTTGACCAGTTTCAATCATCCACACTGTCACAGTAGATCCAATGTCTGAACTGATAACCTGCCAATAAAAGACATTTGGCTAAATTTTCATGGATTTGGAAGGGGTTTTCCATGTTACCAAAATGGTGCATGTGGACCAATTTCAAGGTTCCATCTCCCATCCCCAATCCAGAACCTACCATTTTCAGAAATAGAGGTGAGTTGTAGTTTGTACATCTGTGGTTCAAAGAAGCAGCTGCATGTGTAAAATTACAACTTTGTTCAAACTGATCCAATTTTCATTCATGAGATGTTTATAACATGATTCATGGCCATTAGACCTTTGAGGAAATGATTTATAACACTGCAATTATTTGAAGAGGATGGTTACCATTTTGGAGATATCCAGAAATCTCTTTGTGAGAGACAAACTACCCTGTGGTTAGAGTGGACATGAATGCACAGAAAAGTGGATATGTCCTGTGAAACTGGCAAGATTTAAAGGCATTTAAATCTCCTACTCTATAAATTTACAAAAGGGTCAACAGTTAAAAAGAAAAACATAGAGCTTATAATTCCATCCTGCTTGTTGGCATAATTCTGAGGGTCATCATTATAGGATTCATGCTGCATGACTGATTGTACAACTTACCCTTATCACAATGAGGTGTTCATCAGTTCACAGCTTGCTTGAAAAATTCCAAGTAGATATAATGTTTTTGACGTGGGATGATGAATATAATTGTTATCACAAGGAATTACATAGTTGAGTTAAATTTTAGTTTTTATAACAGATAAAACAACTGAAGGAATTTAAAGATTTTTAATTAGTTTTATGAATGAGAGATTGTTGAAAATTAAGTTGGCAATTGACATCTCAGCATGATTGCTGAAGTCTAACCATGATGGGTATTGTGTTTGTTGACATGGAGGCTATCAAGTCAAACGATGGTGGATGGGAGCATAGATTGGCATGATGTTAAGTTGTCATGGGGATATCAGGTGCCATGCAGGGCAGGTAGTTAGGCATAGGTTTGTATAGGCAGTATGAAGGACCATGGAGGTGAATAAATGGCAGAAGATTGCATATGGAAAAGGGTGTGTGGGACTGTGGAGAGTGGTGGGGCCTAAGAGGGGGCATGGGCAATCTGAGGTATATTTGCATCATACAAAGAAGTAAGCAGGAAATGTAAAATAAGTATTGACCATCATATCATTGTTTATTTGAGAGATCAAAAAAAATTGAGATAATAAACGGCAGCTAAAAATGGATGCTTTTTTTCTTGAATGCTACTCAGGACTGCAACAGAGCTTTCAGAGAACCATCCAGATATGTGAGTTGTAATCAAGCTCTATACAGAATGGAGCTTTATGGAGAATTAAATGCTGTTGAGTGGAAGAGTTGTATTTCTCAGAAATGTGGTAACTTTAAATTATAGAGACATTTTCTAATGTGGGTCCTTTTAAAATATTCAATAATTATTTTGGATAAATTCGGTGAATGACTGGAATCAAGAGTCTAGGACATGCTTCTTTGTCTTATTCAATAGGAAACAGGAGGAAAACTCTCTGCTGTTTATGCCACATCTAGCAACAGTTATTTCTTACTTCATCTAGCTTAACTTCAACTTTAACTCACTTCATTTATCTTCACTTTATCTTACTTTAACCTAACCCATATTTATCCCTAACTTTAAATTTAACTGTATAAGTTTGGCTCAAAACGAAAACAAATACTACTTTGCTTCAAATGAATTGGCCAACTTTGCTCTTGGTGTAGATCTTGCCTCGTGGTTCTTTGTCGTCTCTGAAGAGGAGTTCAGGGTACGTACTTCTCAAATGTTGGTCTCAAAGGTTCACTCTGTGAAATCCTTTGTGCTGGTAACTTTTATACCAAAATGTGATCATCCTTCTAGAAACTTCTCTGGCATTCAGCCACTGAATTGACCAAACCTGATCATATCATCCAATCCCAGCCAATGGAGATCACTGGTAAACAATTCCCAAATGTTTATACCAAGTCGCTGAGCTGACTGGTTATAGTTCAGACGTTTTGTCACCATGCTAGGTAACATCATCAGTGCGGCCTCCGATGAAGTGATGTTGTTCTACTCCATTAGTATTTATATGATCTGGTCTGTTGAGGTGTTTTGTGTGATTTCAGGTTCTTTCTTGCAGTTAAATTGATGGCCTTCTTTGTCCGAGTGCACTGAAATGAAGGCCATCAATTAACTAGGATGATGTCACCATCCTAGCTCAAGCCAACCATAGACATGCACGGGAATTCCTAAAGGCCTGGTTCTCCACCCACAATGCAATCAGTAAACATGTGGAATTAGACCCCATATACAAACCCTTGCAAAAACCAGAAATGACACAAAACACCTCAACAGACCAGATCATATAAATACTAAGGGAGTAGAACAACATCGCTTCATCAGTGGCCGCACTGATGACGTTACTTAGCATGGTGACGAAATGTCTGAACTATAACCAGCCAGCTTGGCAAGCAAGTCAACAACCTCACTCACAACTCGAGCTACAAATCTTCGCAAGAACCTCAAGTCGTAAACAGCCACACACCATGCTCCATGTAAGTAATATGATGCAAGTGTGTCTAGTACACAACCATAAAGTTTCCCATAATTGGTCAACATAGGAAACCGCGGGTCACAGCTTACTGGAAAGGTCACATATGTCCTGGCTGCAGTTTTAACCTAGGTCAGAATTTAAAGTAGCTTGACCAAAATTCCCTTGTCAGCCATGGTGCCTCATCCTTCCCTTAGTATGTTTCTTCTTCCTTGGGATGAATTTCTGCTGTGCTTCCTGAATTACCACCATAAATTCCTGCCATTGCTGCTCCACTATCTTCCCTGCTAGGCTCCTCCTCCAATCAACTCTGTCTAGTCTCTCCCTCAAGTCTCTGTAGTTACATTTACTCAATTATAATACTATTACACCTGATTCAACCTTCTCGCTCTCAAACTGCAGGGTGAATTCAATCATATTATGGTCACTGCCCTTGAACTATTCCTTTACCTTAAGGTCCCTAGTCAAGTCTGCCTCACTACACACCATCAAATCCAGAATTATCTGTTCCCTAGTGGGTTCTACCACAAGCTGCTCCAAAAACCATCCACGGACATTCCACAAATTCCTTTTCTTGAGGTCTGCTTCCCAACCTATTTTCCCAGTCTGCCTACATATTGAAGACCCCATAATTACTGTAATAATATCTTTCTTACATGCCTTTTCCACCTCCTGATTTATCTTCTTCCCCACAGCCTGACCACTGCTAGGGGGCCTGTACTAAACTCCCATCAAGGTCTTTTTTTCTTTCCAATTCCTCAACTCTGCCTGCACAGATTCAACACTTTCTAATTCTATGTCATATTGCGGTTGATTTTATGTTTTTTCTTACTAACAAGGCAACTCTGCCCTCTCTGCCCATCTGCCTGTCCTTTCGATTGGATGTGTATCCTTGGATATTTAGTCCCTAGCCCTGATCCCCTAGCAACCAAATCTCTGTGAAACCAACAGCAAATTCAATCTGCACTACAAGCTCAGGTACCTTGTTTTGTATACTGATTGCACTTAAGTACAACACTCTCGGTCCTGCGTTGGCTGGCCCCTTTCTCATAAGTTATCCCCATATCTGCTGTGCCTGAAGTTAGATTCCTGACCTTTTTCATACTCTCTGTCCTATTACTTGTTTGAGATCATTAGGTATTTCACATCTCCCCTGGCTCTTGCCAGTCTCCTACTCACCAGCAGTATCTGAATAGAATATTTAACTAGAGTACTGCTTCCTTCCTCCATAAGAATATACACGGGGAGTCTCTGCCTGGGTTTGGCCTGAAAGTCTATTTCCTCCACCATGCCTGACAATGACAATAGAGCAAGTTTGCAGCCTTGGCCTCCTTCATGGATATCAGTTTCAATTCTTTCAACAATGCTCCACCTCAGGCACCTCCTAGCCTGTGGTCTCCACTTGGTTGCACCTGATCCTTTTCCACATGAGGCCTCCTTCCTCCAAAGACACGCTTTCCCCCACAGAGGGTCGGGCTGCCCTGTGCAGTGCCCTCCCACACTATTGCCACCTGCTGCTGCAGGTTCCAAAACACTTAAATGAAATATCTTGCACTCTTGGTAATATTGTTCTGTCTCACTCACCTGCTTGAACAGAGAATTATAAAGCACGCAAGTAACGGATTTTTCATGACTTTTCACACATTCACTATTCTCTTGCTTCATCTCCAACAACGTCAGTTGATTGTTGAAAGTGGTGAAGAGTTGGCCATTGGTTTCATTAAAGTACAGAATAGTTTGGAATTCCAGGCACTTTGGAAATATTCCAGCAAGCCTCTGGATACAAAGTTGATTTTGCATGTCCCAAATTCGTAAAACCTAAAATGGTTCCAACTAATCAATAAAATTCACAACTGACGACGTTTAGCATATACTTGAACTGAACAAATAGTGTGAACATAAAAAAGTATACAAACTAGTGATGCTCATTCTGGTTCATATGACTGAAGTTTGATTATACTATTGATTTTAAACTTTATAGACTTCTACATTAACAGTCAGTACAGAGGAAATTTCTGAAGATTTTGTCTACAAGTCTATAAAGTAGCCACCATATACATGTTTAAATTTAATAATTATATACAAATGCACATACAAGTTAAACTAAAAGCAAATTTTACTTGCCTTATCCTTGGAAAAACTGAAGAGTTGTCTTCGTGTACTATTAAACTGAACTCCTATTACGCTAGCAAGATGACCTCGTAAAATTCCAGTGGGTTTAGACATGTAAGGGTTCCAAAGGTAGACCTGATGATTTACAGCTGCAGAAGCTATTGGAAAAAAAAGGTACTGATCGTAAGAACTACGATAATGATGCAGAGCAAATCAAAGTATAGCTCATTGACATTTTCTTATAAAAGATATCTGCACTAAATTAATGTCCAGTCTCATGAAGTAGTCCTCAATAAATCAGATTTATCTGGTTATAACCTCAACATAATTTTGTAATTCACAAACTATATCACAATACATAAATGGCTTCTTTAATCTAGACATGGCAACTCTTTGTCAAATGACAAACTATAAAAACTGAAAATGAAAGCAGGAGTAAGCCAATCGGCCTTCTGAGTCTGCTTTGCCATTCAATATAATCATGGCTCATCATCCAATTCAGTATCCTATTCCCACTTTCACTTATACCCTTTGATCCCTTAACACTAAGAACTATATTTAACTCCTTCTTGAAAACATTCAATGTTTTGGCCTCAAGCACTCTCTGTGGTGGAGCATTCCATAAGAAAAATATTTACTTTCTGAAATAATTACTATTCAATTTAAAAATGATTACTTCACTCTTTCATCTAAAGAAGTAACTCAAGCCTCGAGCCTCAAATACAAGAACCAACTACAGTAATCATTCTGCACATAGAAGTGGTTGTCAATGGACTATATTTTGAGAACATTTACGCTAAACCTCACCTTATCCTCAAAAGTATCTTCAAACAGAGGTCAGCAAATAATTATCAGGGCCAGAAATCCTGGAGGATTTCCTTCCCTCCATCATCCCCACTCAAGTACAGGTCTTTGCAGCACCCTGACTACAGTCATTGGTGAGATCACCATAAACTAGAAATGTAACTGAAACCACCAATTTCCAACAGATTTCTGCCCCAGCATTTTCTCTTTGAAATACTTGCGCAGTTCAAACATTCTACTTGGGTCCACCTCTACAAGTCAGATAAACTAGAAAATCCCACATTAACAAATAGTTTTACATTTTTCTCTGCCAATGAATTGTGAATTATGTCTTGACGAACTATCCTGACAAAAATCAGAAACTTACCAGATAGCATATTCCTGACATGCGCCCCACTCCCATTAATTCCATACTGGGACTACAATGATGATATAGTGCAGAGCAGAATGAGCTAACAGAATATTTTATGAACTATGTCAAATTGACCTCCAAAGCCCAGAAGAACCAAAGAAATATTTTGCAACATTTAAATAATGTTTATTTTAAAAACTCTACTCAATAAATAATTCACAACAAACAAAGATATCATGGAGTAGCTGTTCAAATTTCTTTCCAAAGCTCTATCAATGTTGCTCCAAAATGGGATATTGCAAGATGTGTTACAGCAATCAAACGATAGACAGAAGTTTCAATTTCTTGCTCAGATCCCCCATGAGTTAGAACTAAATTTTAATCTGGCATTACTCCCCATCTGCCTCGTGATAGGACCTCAATATTTGGATCTGGCAAGTCTGAACTGTATTAGTACAACTGCTCATATATGAACTACACACATTGTGACATTTATGTACTGTGTGCCAGATGTGTGACATTTACGTACTGCACTTTTCAGCACAAATTGAGGTCTCTTACCAATTAAGTTAAGTCCAGGATGGTAATCAAATGCATTAACACCTTCATTAACATGGAAAGATGTGGTTTTCATTGGGGTTATTCCTTTTTCTTTCCAGCCCAAGACTAATGTGTTCAGGTTAGTTGTAGCACAGGAAATGAAAGCTTCCAAATTAGAACAGTAACTTACTGGAAAAAAATATAGAGAATTAAATTCATATTCATTAACAGGAAAGAACACGCAATGCTTAGAGCTATAAAATATTGTTAATTTTTAATATTTATTCCTCCAAAGAAGTGGGAATTCATAAGTTTTATTATTCAGTAATGAGAAATAGAGAAAATGTTCCTGTTTCTTTTCTCCCCAGGATATGGACGAAAGGGAAGAGGATAATTTTTGTCATGCCCTGTCAGAGCTCTCCAGGGTCTGGGCATTTTGAGGAGGGAATATATGTTGTACTAGATTAGGCCTGCCCTTGCCAAAATGTAGACCAATAATGCCTTTCAGATCAGGTGTGAAATATCCTTTCATTCATTCATGGAATATGGTTGGCACTGTCTAGGCCAGTATTTATTTTCAATTCTCAATTGCCCTTCAGAAGTGGATGGTGAGCTGCCTTCTGAAACAGTCAAAGTCTATGTCGTGCTCTTCACCCAGAGTACTGTTATGAGGGGAAGTCCAGGTTTTTCACGCAGAGACAGTAAAGAAATGGTGACATTGATCTAAGTCACAATGGTGAGTGATTTGGAGAGAAGCTTTAACAGATGAGGGTGGTCTTCCCATGCATCACTTACCCTGCCCTTTTGTTTGATTTGCGTTGGATTTATTGTTGTAACATGTACCGAGATACAGTGACAAGTATTGTTTTGCATGATGTACAGGCAGATTGTACCATACAAAGTACATCAGGGTAGCAGAACAGAGTGCACAATACAGTGTTATGGCCAGTGAGAAGATCCAAAGACAGAGATCAGAATTAACATTTGAGAGGTCAGTTCAAAAGTCTGATAGCAGCGGGGAAGAAGCTGTTCTTGTACATGTATTCAAACTTCTATATCTTCTGCCCGACAGAAGATGGCGGAAGAGGTTATAACTGGGGTGGTGGAAGTCTTTGATTATGTTGGTTGCTTTCCTATGGCAGCAGGAGTATAGATGGAGTCAATGGATAAAAGGCTGGTTTACATCATGGACTGGGCTGTATTAACAACTCTGCAGTTTCTTGCAGTCTTGGGAAGACCAGCTGCCATACCATGCTGTGAAGCAACCAGATAGGATGTTTTTTATGGTGCATCTGTAAAAATTGGTAAAGGTCTTTGTGGACATGTGAAATTTCCTTAGCCTCCTGAGGAAGTAGAGACATTGACGGGCTTCCTTGACCATTGCATCGGTGTGGGTGGACCAGGAGGGATTGTTGGTGATCATCACTCCCAGGAGCTTGAAGCTCTTGACTATCTCCACCTCAGCACCACTGATGCAGACAGGAGCATGCCCTCCAATCCACTTCCTGAAGTCAATGGCCAGCTCCTTCATTTTGCTGACACTGATGAGAGATTGTTGTTCTTTACACCATGCCGCTAAGTACTCAATCTCTTTCCTGTATTCTGTCTCGTTTTTGTTTGAGTTCCAACTGTAATTGTGGTGTCAGTAAACATATAAATGGAGTTAGGGCAGAATTTAGCCACACAGTTAAGGAGGATAGTAGGGGGCTGAGTACGCAGCCTTGCAGGACACAGAGGGTGGTGGGTGCCTGGAACTCACTGCCAGGGGAGGTAGTGGAAGCAGACCTATAATGACTTTTAAAGGGTATCTTGACAAATATATGAATAGGATGTGAATAGAGGGATATGGTCCCTGGAAGGGTAAGGGGTTTTAGTTGTGATGGGCAGCATGTCGCTGTGGGCTTGGAGGGCTGAAGGGCCTGTTCCTGTGCTGTAATTTTCTTTGTTCTTGATACCAATGTTAAGGATTACAGTGGAGGAGGTGTTGTTGCCTTTCTTATTGATTGCAGTCTATGGGTCAGGAAGTTGAGGATCCAGTTACAGAGGGGTGAGCTGAGACCGAGACCTTGGAGTTGAGAGATGGGTTTGCTTGGAATTATGGTGTTGAAGGTAGAGCTGTAGTCAATAAGTAGTAGCCTGACATAAGTATTCTTGTTATCCAGATGTCCCAATGAATGGTGTAGGGCCAGGGAGACAGTATCTGCCATGGACCTGTTGCACCAGTGGGTGAACTGCAAAGAATAAAGGCAATTCGTAGGCTGGAGTTGATGTGAGCCATGACTAACTTTCCGAAGCACTTCATAATCACCGAGTGTAGTTATTGAAGCACGCTACATGATTTTTCTTTGGCACTGGGACGATGGTGGTCTCCTTGAAGCAGGTGAGGACTTTAGATCATATAAAGACAAGTTAAAGCTATCTGTGAATACTCTCACCAGCTGGTCTGCACAGTTCTGAATGCATGGCTAGGGACTCCATCTGGACCAGTTGCATACTGTGGGTTCACTCACAAGAAGGCCAAGTTATCATCTGTGGCGGTGACTGTGGGTAGAGGTTCTTCTGAGGCTGTTGGAGCAAATGATATCATTTCACTGACCTTCTGTTCAAAGCCAACAGAGAATGCATTGCGTTCATTGGGTAGGGATGTACTGTTGTCTGCAATTCTGTTTGACTTCGCTTTGTAGCCTTTTACGTAGTGTAAGCCTTGCCACAGACAGTGAGTGATGGTGTGGTTAGTCTGGGTCTCAAGTTTAGTTTGGTATCACCTCCTGGCATCTCTGATGGCCTTACAAAAGTCATACCTTGATTTCCTGTATAGGTCAGGGTTGCCCGACTTGAAGGTCTCAGACCTGGACTTCAGTAAAGAGTGGACCTCCCGGTTCATTCATGGTTTCTGGTTGGGGAACATTTGGATTAACTTCTTTGACAGGCAGTCTTCTACACACTTACTAATGAAGTCTGTAACAGTAGTGGCATACCCATTTAGGTGGCAGTCATGGGTTTGGAAGGCTCTCTCAAACCTTGGTGAGTTGCTGCAATGCATCTCGCAGATTATACACACTGCTGCCATTGTGCATTGGAGGGCGAAGGGAATGAATGTTTCAGGTGGTGGGTGAGGTACTGATCATGTGGGGCTTCCTTACCTTGGATGACTGAGCTTCTTATGAGTTACTGGAGCTGTGCTCATCCAATGAAAAATAGATTATTCCATCATAATGTTAACTTCTACCTTGCAGATGGTGGACAGGCTTTGGGGAATTAGGAAAGGACTTACTCACCACAGAATTCCCATTCTTTGACCTACATTTTTGCTACATTTATTCAGTTAAGTTACTGGCCAATTACAAATCCCAAGATGCTGATGGTGGGAGAATTTAGTCATGACAATACATTTGAATATCAAGAAGATATGGCTATATTCTCTCGTTTTGAAGCTCTCATTACCTGGTATTTGTGTGGCATAGATATTACATACCAATTACCTGAAAGATATTCAGGTCTTGCTGCAAACTAGCATGGAATGCTGCAGAATGTGAGGAGTTGCAATGTTATTAAACACTGTACCTTTATCAACAAATATGCTACTTCTGATCTTATATCCAAAGAAAGGTCATTGATGAAGCAACTGAAAATGATTGGATGTAGGATATTTCCCTGGATTATGTCCCAAGGCTGTGATGATTGGCCTCCAACCTTCTGTTGTGCTAGTAATGACTCTGAATCAGGAGATAGTTCCCACCACCACCAACACCCCCAGCCCCACCCTCAACCAAACCCACCCAGCCCATTCCCATTGACTGAGGACCTTGCCACAGTTTCTTCATACCACATCCAATGATCAATTCTAAGGTGCAGTCTAGAAAGTGCTGCAGTCCAGGCAAAGAAAGGGCTGTTTATGCACTCCAATGATCTGTTCAGTGACAGAAGGTTAATAAGTAATCCTCATTGCCCAATAGCTGTATTCTTCACAGTTTAAATGCTAATGATACAGCAGTCTGGAGTGGAATAATAACATTATGACTGCTGCCAGGACAGTGCAAAATGATCTGGATGACATTTTTGAGCAAGGTTTCACGGTATTGTCAAAGTGATTACTTACTTTGTCCCTAAATATCATTTTTCAAAATGTCCCTACCATCGAGAGTAATCTATAGTTGTTGGGTGATGCTTCACAAGCAATTTTTTCACATGGTGTAACAATACAATCCTCAACATATCTGGTACCAACCCGGAGTTGTCTGAAATTAGGAATATTATGGCCATGCTCAGGTGTATGGTTAAACTGCCTACTCTCCACAAGTTGATGAGTGTACTCCAAATGGCTACGCTAACAAACTGCCACTCCAGAATTGTGCTTACACGAGAAAAATGCCACTACAGTGCTGAATATATAGATGTTATACAATACAATTTTGTGACCACCAACTTTGAGTAGAGTTCTCACGAGATTATGAGTTGGTTTTTCCCAATGCATTTCACCTGCACTTAGCCAAACTATTGTAAAATCCAAAATTTTTCAAATGTAGTCAATGCTCATCAATAATATACTAAATACCTGACCAGTGCACATCAATGCAACTACAAAATACAAAATTCCCATACAACGCACATCAGAATTTCACTTTAGGTTGCTCACAGTTGATGGACCAGACACCCTTACTAAAAACGCTTAATGCACTCCATTTTCAGCTACATTAATAAAACTGCAACAGATTGCCTCTCTTCATGATATAAAGGGATACTTTTCAATTAAGGGGAAAATTGGACAATTCTATTCAAAAAGTCTATTTGATTGTGCTGGTTCATGGACATATTTTTATGTGTAATGATGCAAATAGTTTGAACGAAAACTTGAACCACATCTTCACAACTCACTACAATTTAGTCTGGACCATGGCAACTTGCCAAAGTCTCTATACCTTGTCTGACCCATTCTTTATTGTGTCCTTTGTGTTGTAAAGTGAAACAGCACTTGTGGTTTCCTTTAACCAGCTCTTGCCAAGTAATAGTTACAGTGGCCTCTTGCTCATCCGTTGAATTGGTTGGTCTTTCAAAAAGTGAAATTAATGCTGCAGTAAAGCAAATAGCATTGACCTGCAGGAGAGAAAAAAGGCAGTATACATTTTCCATAATATACTGGTGAAAAATTGTAGTATTTGGTGTAGGGAAGACAAGAATCATCGGTAAGATGACCACAAACGTTCAATGACATAAGAGTTGTTATAAATCTCCCTGAATCTTTAATACAGCTCACTGAAACTATATTAACAAAAATAAAACAGATTCTTATGGATCATCCTATAATCTATAATCAGTAATCAGTTACTGAGTTTATTAAATCAAATAATTATTTCTTTTTCACTCATGATGCAATTTTCCATAACCTACCTCATTGACTCGTTGATGATTCAATTTTTTGAAGTAGGATTTTAGATTTTTTTTTAGAATGCATCAAGTTAGTTATTTCCTTTTGTGTTGTGTAATATATCTGAACTTAGTTGTGTAATGCATGGCTCCTTCTAAAACAATGCAGCACATCATAGTCAGTTTCGATAGCATAATTACTGTCTTTTTTTGTAGCCAGATTAATCAGAGCTTTGTGCATATATGGAAGCATGCATAGAGAAAGAGGTAACTAAAGATTGGCTACTATCTGACATTAATAAATATAAGAAGACAACTGACACTTAAATAACACTTAAAAGATGAAACATTAAACATAAAAGCTCCCACATGATTAGTTGGATATCCTAAAGATTCTATTAAATGTCCTTTATGCAAGTCTACAATGCCAGATTATGTAAAATTAATAAACTTTGAACTAACAACCTACTTGAGATAAATGCATATTCCTTGCCTAATTTTACTTTGACTGCCTATTCCAAGAGTTATACCACACATGACACATCCACATGAAGTTTAAAAAAGTAAACTAGGATTTAGTGTTTTAAAATATTTGCATGGCTTGTAAATAGTTGAATGTCATTCAGACATCAAGATAATGAACGTGGACAAATAAAGCATAATTAACTTGAGAAACAATATGATAATATAGAAATTTACATTGTAAAGTTAATTTATATAGTAAAGACAGTAATGTCTGCTTTATACTATAGGTACTTTGTTAAAACTGGCATTGCCTTTGAAGTGTTGCAGGCTGACATCATTGGGATTTACTGCTGGTTTTGCACCATTCTGTACTCAGCCATATACATGGAAACTCAAACACCGACATAAAAATGTAGCTATAATCCTTAATCTCAGTAGAGAGAAGACTGTAACCTGCTGCTTACAAACTTTGAAAATATTTGGTTGAAAAGATCACAGACTCATTAAGACTACTGCTCCGCAAATATTCAGTTTTTCCCCAAATTTTATTTTGAACTGATAGATATAGCAAAGGTTCACCACCTTGATTGGATAAAACAAAACTGCATTTATTTTGAAAAAGGAATTAGAGTGAACTTATGAAATGATGGGTGGAGCACAGTAATCAGTAGTCCTGAAGAAAGCAAAACTAAAAAACAGCAGTGAGCTTAATTAAATTTACTAGATCGATTATACCCACAGATTATATAAAAAGAGAGAAATTTCATTCGAGTTGAAATGATAGCAATTACTTCATGGTAGGGCCCAGGATGAGCCCAGTGGAGGAGGGGGCCTAATAACCAGGGTTCAGGCTGGGGGTGATGGAACTGTCGCTGCATTTTGTCTTTGTGTGATCTACATATCCGTTATAAGATAATCATAAATAAAAATTAACTTTGAAATTTTCATACCATATTGACCAGCTGAATTGAATTAAATGATCATTACAATTAAGATAATGTAGAGTCCCCAGAATTTTTTTGTGATTATCAAATTACCTCCCCACAAACGTCTCCAAAGGTGAGAACTGCTTCATTTCCATCTTCTGGGTTAAACCAATAGTGCATGGAAATCAGTGTGTTGCATATTCCATGAAGTTTATATTGACAGAAAAATTCATCTTTGGAATTAAGGTCATAAAAGCAAATCTCCTTACTCGTAAATGCAACTGCCACCTTAAAACAAATGAACAGAGAAGATTGTTATTTTTTGCAGCATGTAGTCAGACTTTCAAAACTTAATACAGAGTTGAACAATGATGATACTGGAACAAATGCAAATGATTGTATTTTTAAAGTGCAGTTACTATTGGTCTTTAAGCAAACACAGCAGCCTGTTACACGCAGCCACTCATGCTCCAAGTAATCTGGGGTTGACACCGAAATGTTTTAAATTGGAAGGACAAGTTAATAAAACTTGTAAATGACTACTGAGCTTCTTAAAAAGTGCATCTTCTTAAAAACAAGCATAGGTGATTCTAAACATAGGCATTAAAAGTCATAAAATGACTTAAAATATTGTTTTGGGCTTTTGAAGTTTTTATGGAAGATTGGATGGCAATGGAAAAGGGACAGAAAAGATTAAATAGAATGATGAAGATAGGATAATCTAGTTATGTGAGAAAACTTAAGTTTTTTTTTCATTAAATCAGACTTGTAAGAGAATATTTGATTAATGTCTTCAAAGTTAAGAAAATTTTGATGAATGAACAGGTCAAACTACTGACAATATGTTGAGAAGTAGAGACAGATATTAAAGATCATTGTCTGAAATATTTTCCCTTTGTGCTTCAGAACTAGGACAAAATATGTTTTACCAAAACAATAAACAGATTTACCACAACAGACTTTAGCTTCAATGTTAGATAACAAGGTGTAGAGCTTGATGAACACACCAGGCCAAGCAGCATCAGAGGAGCAGGAAAGCTGACGTTTCGGGTCTGGACCCTTCTTCAGAAAATCCTACTATCTCTGAATCGAGTTTAACCCCACTGCAAAGCCCTACATCTTGTTATCTCAGATTCTCCAGCATCAGCAGTTCTTACTATCTCTGAATCGACATTAGCTTCAATGTAAGTTGATTAATATTTGAAAATATATTAAAATAATGTTGGGATAGATTCTGGGAATGTAATAAATCACAAATGCTTACAAAAACCATTGCAGTATTCTTGTGTGGTGAAACATTATGATTGTACAGCCCACTAAATTCTGACATATGTTTACTAATTCACAAGAGGCAGATTTCAGATACAGCCCAGGGAGATCAACATCAATTGCATTTATAGAGCACATAGGAACATAGGGAAGCATCGAGGCACTTCACAGGAGAATGATCAAACAAAATATTTCACAAAACAAAAGAAGGAGACATTAGGTTGAATGACTAAACTCGGTCACAGAGGTAGGCTTTAAGGAAAGTAGGCTTTAAAAATAAAGAAGTGTAGATCAACAAACAATGGAGTGATGAATGCGAGGAATTTAGCAGAAGTTAGGATACAGACAGCAGAACTTTAAATATAGTCAAGTTTTGAAGGGAGAAAAATGTTAAGCCAGGCAAAGAAGCATTGGAATAGCCAATAAAAGCTGAAATAACTGTGGATGCTGTAAATCAGGAAAAAAAAACAGAAGTTGCTGGAAAAGCTCAGCAGGTCTGGCAGCATCTGTGAAGAAAAATCAGAGTTACTGTTTCAGGTCTGGTGACCCTTCCTCAGAACCAGTAGCTGACCCTGGATTGACTAAAAACATTAACGCAGGCTCTAGCAAAAAATGAGTTGAAACAATGGAGGAGATGGAACTAGAAGGTTTTAGTGAAGAAATAGCTACAGAGTCAGAAACACACCAGCATGAAATAGGACACTGAGGTTACAAAATGTCTGATTGAGCTTCACAGTGGCTAAAAAAGGGAGATGGAATTGGTAGCAAGAAAGAAGACATTTGACAGTCTTTTGAGAGTTTTTTTTTCAAACTATACGGGCTTTATATTCAACTGAAAGGAAATGTTCTTAGATGATGCTACTAATGAGACAGACAGAAATAAAATGCAAACAGATTATCAGAACTGATGAAGGTTTCTCAGGAGCTAATCATGTATTGGAGCAATTGCTTTGACCATTCCAATGCTTTATTAAGATGTAAGCATAATTGGCAAGGCCCAAGAGTTATTACCAATCTTGAACTGATTGCTGGCCATTTGGTGTAGGTGCACCATTTCTTGTTAGGAAGTTCCACACTTTTGACACAGAAACAGTGAAGGAATAGCTTTGTAGTTTCAAGTGAAGTTGGTTTGTGACTTAGAGCAAACCTTGCAGATGATGGAGTTCCACACATCTACTGCCTTTGTCCTAGCAGGAGAGAGTAATCACAGCTTTGAAAGACTCTTTCAAGGAAGCTTTAGCAAGTTACTCAATACTCATTTGAACAGACAGTGCAGGCACAATTGGTTTGCCAGCAATAACACAGTGTGAAGCTGGAGGAGCACAGCAGGCCAGGCAGCATCAAAGGAGCAGGAAAGTTGATGTTTCGGGTCGGGCCCCTTCTTCAGAAATGGGGGAGGGAGAAGGGAGCTTCAAAATAAATAGAAAGAGGAGGGGTGGGGCTGGGGAAGGTGGGTGGGATGGTGATAGGTCAGTGCAGGTAAACGGAGCAAATAGGTGGGAGAGAAGATGGACAGGTTGTCTCAGGGTGTGTCAGGTCAAGGAGGCGGGGATGAGAGGTAAGGATGGACATGTCGCCCAGGGAGTGGGAGTGGGAGGGGGAGTTGAAATGGTTCACGACTGGAAGGTGTTGTCATTTGAGGTGAACACAGCGCACTCGTGAACTATTTCAATTCCCCCTCCCACTCCCTGGGTGATATGTCCATCCTGGGCCTCCTCCAGTGTCACAATGACGCCACCTGGAAACTGGAGGAGCAGCACCTCATATTCTGCCTTGGGAACCTACAACCCAATGGCCTCAATGTGGACTTTACCAGTTTCAAGAACTGCCCACCCCCAGCCTCATCCCATGACCAACCTTCCCTCTCATCCCTGCCTCCTTGACCTGACACAACCTGTCCGTCTTCTCTCCCACCTATCTGCTCCTCCCACCTCACTGACCAATCCCCACCACTGCCTACCTGCACTCACCTATCACCATCACTGCCTACCTTCCCTAGCCCCACCCCTCCTCTCCCTATTTATTTCAGAGCTCCCTTCACTCTACCCCATTTCTGAAGAAGGGTGCTGACCCAAAACGTCTGCTTTCCTGCTCCCCTGACGCTGCCTGGCCTGCTGTGTTCCTCCAGCTCCACACTGTGTTATCTCGGACTCCAACATGAGCAGTTGTTGCCATCTCTGGTTTACCAGCAAAACCTCCAGAGACAAGCAACCCTGTTTAGGCCCAAAAAAATGCAGCTTTTTTGGTTGGCTTTTCCTTCACTTTTCTTGCTGTGTAATAAAAGTGAACAACCATTTGAAGGATTCACAACACCTGATGTTCCCACATTCAAGAATAACAACATGTTCAATGAGCATTAAGGAAATAGTAGCACTCGTTCAAACAGGGTTTTAACATTGGTTGACTTTAACAAAGATTAGCTTCAATCATTGGAGTTTAATCCAACTGCTAAATACAGTTAATTAGCCAGGTGATGATTTAAAGTGTAAATTTACAGATGTGTTATCCTTATTCCAATGAATTGTTACCCAAATCACCCAAGTGCCCTCAGAAGGTTTTACTTTCCCTTGTTCTCCCACTATGTCTAGGTGCACTCCTGGGTTCTGCAGCTGGGGTACAGGGAATCTGCCCCAGAGTGAAGCATGTCAACCTTGAAGCTTTGGGCAGATGACCCCAGAGGTGTTTGTAACTGGAGGATCCAGACATACTGACAGATGCAAGCACACCATACGTCAGCTACAACATCCACAGGGTTGGGGGGGACGCGCCAAAGTAGAAGATGGAGTGGAGGGGACAGGCACCTCTGGAGTGTCCTGTGAGTAGACATTGAGGGGGCTATATGTGATTCTTCCTTTGGCTGGGTGCCAACTAGCACCACCCACTCTTCTTTGCGAGTTACCTGGGGTGTGGTTGAGGAATGTGCATTTCAGGCAGCCACTCAACATTCTGCTGGATCCACCAACCTGCCCATGGACACAGTCAGACTCACTCATGCTGGAGCCTGATGCTACTGATAACACTGATGGGATTCCTCAAAGCTCCAATCCAATTTCCTGAGTGTATCTGACATACCTACCTGCTGCTCCTGAGTCTGCTCGCACATGTTCACAAAGTTATTAACGGCTGACACCATAGGGTCCTTTTCTACCCTGGGGTGAGCGGATGTCTGATGTCTGCCAGTCTCTGACTGCCCAATGACCTGGAGCATTTCTCCCTCAAACAGCTCCAGATTGTGCCAGTGATGTGATCACCAGATTGTGCTGCTGAGTCTAACCTAGAAAGAGAACCCAGTGTGGTGAAAGTCTCTGAGTGGGGCAGTGTGAAGGAGAAAGCCTTGCTATGGGATCTGTGTCTTCTTCCTCAGAGGTGGAGGAGGAGCTGGTGTCCAAAGGACGTTCTGTTCACTTGCAAGTAGAGGCTGAGTGGGAGCCGTGCATGCCTGATGAAAGAGAATGGGATGTGTGATGAGGGCAAAAATTCAAATATGTTAAGATTCCACGTGGGTAATGGGAGAGAAGTGAAGAAAAGGACTTGGTTGCCAGGCAAGGTGAAGAGATGAATGTCAGGCACTGCGCTACCCATTGTTGGTCCTTTGAGCCCCATTGTGAGCTGTTCTCTCCCACAGTGGGATGAAGGAAGGGAGGCAGTGAGATGAGAGTGGCTCAAAGAGCTGTTAGTGCTAGTGTGGGTGAGGCAAATGTGGTGAGATGTGCCCGGTGATTGAGTAGGAAGTGCAGAGGGCTGGAAGGCTTGGTAGTTTTGGGTGGGATGGGTGAGTGAGAGCCATGGAGGGAAGACACTGTGTGGAGTTGTGAGAGTGGTAGACCTGAGTCTGCTAGAGCATGTTCCTTGCTAGGAGGTGGGTACAGTGGCACAGTTAAAGTGAGTGTGAGGTAGCAGAGAGAAGATGGTGGTACTTATCCTTGCAGAGTGCTGGAGGTCATTAATCACCTTGCAGCATTACTGTGTGTTCCTCCAGATCACGGACACAACATTGATGGTTACTTCACACCAGGATGACAGCAGCTATACCATGGTCTCCTTTGTCAGACCTGGGGCTCTCTTCTCCACTATCCCACCCACTAGGCCTTCCAGGTCCCTATCACCAAGTGGAGATCCACCTTTCCTGTCTCAGCCAATCTTTTCCAATCACCAAGTGCAGTCCCTAGCTTGCAACATTTGAAATGATGCAGTTTGGTTTTAAATATGGCACGCATGAAATAAATGAGCATCTCTGTCTCTGTTAGCCACAAACATGTTTCAAAAGTGGTACTATGGAGACAGGATGCATAAGCAATAAGTTGAGTAGCAGAGATTTGTATGAGCAAAATCATCAGGGCTCACATTGGGAAACCTACATGAAACTCCCTGAAATTGACACATAGCCAAAATCCGGAAGGTTCTTCCCTATCTCTTCGAACAATACCTCCTAGGGCCAGTATATAACAACAAACAGGAAAAGAACAAGTTATTGGGGGACTCCAAAAATAACAGCAAATTAGGAAGCTATTGCAGGAAATTCTCTGATATAGGCAAGAATGAAACAAATTGCAACAATCCCATTCAGCTGGACACTGGAGGAGAAAAGTCAAGAATGTTAAGTAGGGATAGTGAACCGTGTTCACACCAGCTAAGGATATAATTTAGTATCCATTTAAGAATCCATAAAATAGCCCAGAAATTAATGCCGTTTAAACCGAATGTTGAATCAGAGGTATCTAAATCAGAAGCAGTTAGATTCAAGTAAAAACTTCTATGTGCATATATTTAAGAAGAACTTTGGTGCTCTTTTATTTAATTGATTGATTAATAGCATAGAATTCCAGAAGTGAAATCCTACCTTATTTACATTTGTCAAAGAGACCATACTTGTAACCCAGAGATCCCGCAATCTTACAGAATCTGTGGTAACTCGTAAAGTTTGCTGTAGCTTCAAATTCTCACCCCAAACATTCATCCAACCTTCTTTACTCAAACTCAGGTAGCGATGTGAATTCTTCAGGTAGACTATAGTTTGAATAGGTTCCTTATGGTGCATTGGAAGAAATTTGATTTCTTTCCACCGAGGAACAAGTGAAGACTTTGTTCTCTCTTCGTTTTCGTAAAGTTCTAACAGCATGAATGTTGTTACTTTGTTCCAGTCAACAAAGCCATCTCGTGCTACATCAATTCTGTCAAAAAGGTCTCCATACTCTTCTTCAATGTCATATCCAAGAGCTGTGAACATATTGTCAATAAAGCTCTTTCTATTAAGTGGAACAAATTCTTCAAAATTTGGTTGCTATAAGAGGAAATGATATATAATGAAATAAAGTCTTTACAATTAGACCTGGATACAATTTATACCTGGATCATTTTGCCTCAGTGCGAACTACAAAATATTTACATTGCATTTCAAAGTGCTACTTAATGAGCCATACACAAACATTAAAGTAGTTCCAATGCTGTGTGGACCAGGAATTGAAAACCAATCATTATATCATTAGGATTTTAGAAATATAAATATTAACAAATAAGTTTCATTTATTCATACTGCAACTAAACATTGATTTTTTAAGTACCTTTCGTCCACAGTCAGGTGTTGAGCATTCTTATAAACAGAGAAATAGACTTTGGTCTCAAATGACCACATGATAAAACAATATCAAAAATCCACTGCTTCAGTAGGATTCAATCTTAACAAGCACTGACCTTAATAAATTTAAGGAAATGAACTGGAGTTAGGAGTAGTTTTGAGTGAAATATTGTTGTTAAACATAATATCCAAGCTGGCGCTCAAGTACCTTATTAACATAACTTGTAATTAGATGTGTCACTCTGCAGATAAACTGTTAACCTTAAATCCAATCTTCCCATTTATGTGGATGTACATGAACGCCCTCAAATGCAGACTTGATGCCTGAGGCAGTCACTTTCGCCACCCCTCTGCAGATCAGTCTTCTCATCTTATACGCCTCAAATATTATATTCCTTTGTCTCTAGTTCTCTTTGCATCTTCCCCTTCCATCTTCGCATTATCACTATCAGGCAGGATCTAAAGCCATCTTCTTTCAACTATCTGTGTATCACTGTCTCCTCCTACAAAAATTTTTTAAAATTGCATTTCTTTAACTTGTCCTTTCCAGGTTCAGTGCTCATTTTCCATGATTAACTATTAGAAATACATATGTATATTAATAGACTATGAAAAATTGTAATAAAGGACTGTTTGGATATTATTGGGTTGAAAAAGGATTGATCATGTGATTTATTGGATAGTGTAAAGTTCAAAGATCAAAGGAAAGGTGGTTAACCCACTATTTATAAAAGTCAACTGACCTTAAAAATGTGTTCAGCAAAGCTGTTAAAACAGATAACTGATGGGTTTATTGCTTAATTACAGGACAAAGAAACTTTGAAAAGCTTTGGATCTGTGCTGAAGATTGCCTAGCAATAGCCATGGTACTAAAGTTACTTTTTCAGTACACACTCTTATGTGGCAGTTATGGAGAGAATTGCAAGGAAAGGCAGTGATTTCTCTCTCTCTCAGAGAAAAATCCTTAAAGTAAAATAAGCATTTAATTTACTCTCTCTCAGTGAAGTAGCTTGAAAAAAACCTGAAGAAGTTTCACATATCAAGACTCTTAATGGTTTTCCTTCTGAAATCTGATTCTGAAATCTGGTTTGAAGATCTTCCATCATTCTACAACCGTCAGCAATGGGATCTCTTGTCCACAGAAAATCAAAGGAACTAGTGAAGTCAATGCTTTCTGTCTTCTGAATTTACACTCTTGACCTAGATGGGTGTTGGTCTGTTCTTCTGACTATTGTATCAAACTCATGATACATCTGCAGAGCTGTATTGTCTTATCTGTGTTTGAATGTACTTGTGTGGGATTAAGGGAATACAGGTTAAGTCTGCATAGTTAGTATCTTAAAAAGCCCACTTATCCACTTCTGTTTTTTAAAAAAAGTTCAAAATTATTAATTTTGAATCATTCTTATGAATTCTTAGTAAGTAAATGTTTTTGAATTCACTAAAGAAACCTGGTGAAAGTATTTATTATTGTAGAAAAACTAACAGGGTGAAACAAGTTAACCACTTTGCTGATTAAATAAGATATTTATACATTTGGTACAGCTCGTGGAGTAGTGAAGCTAGATTCCAGTGCACTCCTCCCATCAGAGTCATGACCATAAGACCATAAAATACAGGGGCACAATCAGGATATTTAGCTTATGGAGTCTCCTCCGCCATTCAATCGTGACTGATGTGTTTCTCAACCGCATTCTCCTGCCTTCTCCCTGACATAGCTTATTGAATCAGATCTTCCAGTCTGGGTCAGAAACTCTATTCCTAAACCTGATTAGACAAAAATATACATTCTTATCTTTGGAGGAGTACTCATGTAATGTCCAGACCAGGAGCCATCCCAGGTGAAGTAGTCAGGTCCAGGCCAGGAATCTGTGCAGCCAGAGCAGAGTGGATTGGCATTGAAACCAAGCCCCATTTAATCATCGCTAGCTGCTATGTTCCAAGTTTTAAAGGTCCTAAGGTGCTTTAACAGATGCTGAGAGAAATTCAGTGTGCAAAGTAAGTAGGAGGGGGAGTAGGATGACAGGTGGGTGGGGTTAAGGGTGCTTATTGAGTGAACAGTAACGTGTCAGGTATGTGGCAGTAGATTGACGAGCGTTTAAAGTTGGTTGCAATAGATGGAAGCTGTGGGCTGTTGGGTCCGGTCTGGTTGGGAGTATGGTTTTGGGATGGAGGGATGGGATGGAGTCAACTCCTGAGCAAAGTGAGTGGGGGTGATGGACCAAGAAGTGGGCAATATCATCAGGTCAGGTCCAAATCTGGAGTGAGGTGAGGACATGTCTTATTAAATAATTTAAAAATAGATCAGGGGTTTGAGGATCAGTCAGGTCCAGAACAGAAGGTGATGGGGCTTTAGAAATCAGATGGGCAGTAGGAGGGGGGAGTAGGTGTGTGTGTGTGTGTGTACGTGTGTGCATACATGTGTGTACATATGTATGTACGTGTTTATGTGTGTGCGTGTACATGTGTATATGTATGTGTGCATGTGTACATGTGCGTGTTGAGGGTGGGTGGTGGTGTCAGTGAGTGACCGAATGATCACTTTCACAGTGAGTCAGGAGTTAGAGTGGGTTTCAGTTACTCTATAAAAAACAAAACAGCTGTGGATGCTGGTGATCTGAATCAAAAACAGAAATTTTTGGAGAAACTCAGCAGGTCTGGCAGCACCTCTGAAGAGAAAGCAGAGTTAATGTTCCAGACTTGAAATGTTAACTCTGTTTTCTCCCCACAAATGCTGCCAGGCTGCTGAGTTTCTCCAAAAATTTCTGCTTTTGTTTGAGCTCTTCTAACCATTCCTGACTAACTAAGAAGCTAAATCAGTCCTGACCCGTGGAGTCTTCAACTTTAATTCAAGGCTGTGGACTTTTTCAAAAGGTTCCATACACCAGGTAATTGTCCATGTTCCCATGTTCTTAGGCAATTACTGTTTTTCAATGCATCAGGACTTCAGCAGTCCCAATGCATATCCTCCAGGGTATGTACGATCTCTGACTAAGTGAAGACCAGATTGCGTGAAACATCATGAAATTCTGTTTTTTTATACAGAAACGCAACAAAAATGAAACTCGTCCATGTCATAATTCCATCAATTAACTTATTTGTCTCCATGCAAATATACATGATACAAAAATTAGATATGTTTTGCACATAACTCGAGTGAGTTATTCTAAACATGCACATAACTGCTGAATATTCCAGTTGATGAGAAGTTTGATTATTAACTTCAGGGCCAACACGTAGCATAACTGTATAAACCTACCATGAAAACCTTCTGTATTTTCATTATATCTTTGACGCTGAGTCGGTTTTCTAGCTGGTTCAGAACTTTCTTAGATGTTTCCATTTTATCAGAATTCGAATCAAGTGTTGCGAATTCTAGCTCATCTTCAGTGTTTATAGTCTCAACCGCCAACTGAGCTGACATTCTTCACAATGTCAAGATTCACTGCATTTGGTTTCTAACAGAAAAATGGACATCATGTTACGTTCATGAAACGGTTATGTTATTTTCAGTGATTGTGGTTTTGGTATTCACATTGCATTTTTTAAATCCTTCTGAAGTTCTTAATTAAGAACATAAATATTTTGTCTGTTTACTGAATAGTTTTGTCTATTAGGTTTATAGTATTATATAAATTCAATGGGCTTATTCCCCCTCCTGATTTTTTTTTTTGCGAGAAAACACCAAAAACCCTGATGCTCATGATTTGCAAGCAGTTTCTGCTCAATGTGTAGTCCAATGAGCATAAAGTCCAAAAGATACATCTCCCTCATCATCTGAGGTGTTTGGTAGGATTCCCTTGAGTATCTAGGCAACTGCTAAGACCAACATGTGCGTGGAAGGTTCTGCTGTGAATAGGCCAACGTACTGCAAAGGATTGAGTTTTGGAAGATTTGCCAGCTCAGGACCTGCTTTGCTTGAGTTTTATTTCTGCTTCTAATAAATGCTTTCTTTCAAAGGAGATCTCACGGTTCTTTATTTGGTTGTACTAGATGCAACAATCCAGACCAAACTTCGCCCTGGACTTGAAGTCAACATCAAACCTCCTAAGAGAAGCCCTCAGAGTGTCCTTAAGGTGCTCTGCTCAACCACCATGAGAGTGCACTCTGAACTTGATGCTGTAGAAGAGTCACCTTTATCAGCGAATGTCAGATGTTCTGACAACACGACCACCTATGTTCAGTTATATGGTTGTGATACATTTGGTTGGCACAGCACCTTAGCTGAGCCCTTCAATACCTGGTATTTTGTCCAACCACTTGATCTTCAGGACATTTGAAGACAGTCAAAGTGAAAATCATGAGACAACAAGGTGCAGAGCTGGATGAACACAGCAGGCCAAGCAGCATCATAGGAGCAGGAAGGCTGACGTTTCGGGCCTCGAGCCTTCATCAGAAATGGGGGAGGGGAAGGGGGTTCTGAAATAAATAGGGAGAGAGGGGGAGGCGGATGGAAGATGGACAGAGGAGGAGATAGGTGGAGAGGAAACAGACAGGTTAAAGAGGCGAGGATGGAACCAGTAAAGGTGAGTGTAGGTGGGGAAGTAGGGAGGAGATAGGTCATTGCGTTTCTTGGCATGACTGTCATCCAGGTTTTGCATGTGTAAGGCAGACTGGGCAGGATTATTGCTCTTTAGACTTTCAGTTTGGCAGATTTGCTCCTCTGCATTTCCAGGCTAATGTATAAACCCTGTTAAAGACTGCATTTGTTTGGCAATTCTTGAATGTGTCCTATAATCAACAAAGACAGATCAAAATAATGACTGACTAACTGAGATGCATAAACTTATCCACTGATGCCAATTTCTGGTCATGGACTGAAATACTGGGCTTGAGGTACAATCTTTCTAAAGTAGGTTGAACATTACTAAAGTTTTCTTTGTGCTGATCATAAAGCTGAAGTTCTTGCATACCCCAGCAGGTCTGTGCTACATGCACATCTAGCTCTGAACTTGTAGCTACAGCACAGTCATTCCAAACAGGAAATCATGAAGCACATTATTGGGAGACCTTGGCATTAGCCTGGAGTTGTTTCAGATTGAACAGCTTCCTGGTCGCACAATATCTGATTTTGATGTCAGGATCATTACCACAAAAGGCATCAGAGAGCATGATGGAAAAAGACATGCTGAAGAGTGTTCACCACTAGCATGCAACCTTATTTAATTCATGCAATCCCCATCTGTCCCTTTGCCTGGTGGTGTCATAGTTGATTAGATGCCAGTTTATAGAACATGAGAGTGTCTCTTCAGCAACAGGAAACCTTTGCTGTTACAAATGCCAATTCTGTTGATACTGTCCCACTCAGCAAGACTAGATTACAGAGCTCTGAGATGCAGAGGGACCTATGAGTCCCAGTGCATGAATCGCAACAGCTTAGTATGCAGGTACAGGAGGTAATTAGAAAATCTAATATATTTTTAATATTCTTTATGAGTGCTATTGAATACAAAAGTAGAGAGATTAAGCTTCAATTACACAGGCCATTTGTCAGACCACAGGAATGTATTCAATTGTGGTTTCCTTATTTAAGGAAGGATATAAATACACAGAAAATAATTCAGAGCAGGTTTACTGGGCTAACACTTGGAATGGGCAGATTGTCTTAGGAAGGAAGTTTAGTCAGGCTAGGCTTGTATCCACTGGACCTTGGCAGGGTAAGAGGCAACTTGATTGAATCATAAGATCCTGAGGGGTCTTGACAGGGCTGATGTGAAAAGAATGTTTCCTGTTGTGGAAGAACCTAGAACTAGAGGTCCTGGTTTAAGAGTGAGCCATTTAAGATAAAGATAAAGAGATTTGTTTTCTCACAAAGGGTCATTAGTCTTTGGAACTCCCTTTCTGGGTGGAAAGGCAGTGGAAATAGGGTCCTTGAATATTTTTAAGGTAGAGATAGTTAAATTCTTGATAAGCAATGGGTGAAAGGTTATCAGTGATAGGCAGAAATGTGCAGTAAACAGATTAGTCATGATCTTATTGAATTGCAGAGCAGGCTCAAGCAGCAAGGTGGCTTAATCTTATTTCTAACTCATAAGGACATATTACAAAGTGAAGGCATCAAGAATAATTAGCTTATCCAACTTTGGCATAGCAGAAATCAAGGAATGGAGGTCCCCATAGATTCAATCCTTGACTTCAGCAAGGTTGCTAAAGCAGGGGCACGCACGCTGCTGAGAGTTGTTAATCTGTTAGCATGCACAGAAAGATTACTAATAATCGTATTGTAGTGATTGTAACGAGGTCAGCCAGGTAAACTGCCTGGACTTGGTCACACGTCGACCGTGCAGATCCTTTCATTAGCTTGATGTTTTTAGTCATTGTGGACGCTCACTCAAAATGCCTGGACGTGCATAGAGTCCATTCATCAAACACGGGGACGACAACAGAAAAACACCACACATCCTTCGCAATACATGGACGTCCAGAAGTGCTGGTCACAGATAATGGGCCATTGTTCACCAGCAGGGAATTTGAGTACATCCTAAAGTTGAATGGCATTCAACATATGAGGACAGCTCCATACCATCCATCATCCAATGGTGTAGCAGTAAGAGCAATCCAAGACCCTTCTTCAGAAATGGGGAGGGGGAAGGGAGCTCAGAAATAAATAGAGAGAGGAGAGGTGAGGCTGGGGAAGGTAGATGGGATGGTGATAGGTCAGTGCAGGTGGGGAGTGGTGGGGATTGGTCAGTGAGGTGGGAGGAGTAGATAGGTGGGAGAGAAGAAGGACAGGTTGTGTCAGGTCAAGAGGGTGGGGATGAGAGGGAGGGTTGGTCATGGAATGAGGCTGGGGGTGGGGAGATTTTGAAACTGGTGAAATCCATATTTAGGCCATCAGGCTGTAGGATCCCAAGGCAGAATATGAGGTGCTGCTCATTTACCCGCAAACTGGAGGAGCAGCACCTCATTCTGCCTCGGGAGCCTGCAGCCCAATGGCCTAAATGTGAATTTTACCAGTTTCAAAATCTCCCTACCCCCAGCCTCATCCCATGACCAACCCTCCCTCTCATCTCCACGTCCTTGATCTGACACAACCTGTCCATCTTCTCTCCCATCTATCCACCCTTCTCACCTCACTGACCAATCCCCACCAATCCGTACCTGCACTTCCCTATCACCATTCCACCTACCTTCCCCAGCCCCACCCCTCCTCTCTCTGTTTATTTCTGAGATCCCTTCCCCCTTCCCATTTCTGAAGAAGGGTCCCGACCCAAAACATCAACTTTCTTCTTCCTCTGATGCTGCCTGGCCTGCTGTGTTCCTTCAGCTCCACACTGTATTATCTCTGACTCCAGCATTGGCAGTTCTTACTATCTCCAAGAGCAGTCCAAACTTTGAAAGTAGGCTTTAAGAAACAGCCTACAGCTTCACTCAATACCAAGTTGTTCCAGTTCCTATTTGACTATCAGACTATCCCTCATGCAACCACAGGGATAGCTCCAGCAGAGTTGCTAATGGGGAGAAATTTCCACATCTGGTGGAATCTGATCTTCCCGGACCTGGGTGGGGAGGGTGAAACTGCATCAGGAACGCCAGTGCCAGACACAAGACTCTGCTAAGTGAGAGAGACCACTTTATTTCAGTTTGAAGTTTGGTGTAGGAGCCACGGGAGTGGCTCTTAATGGATAAAAGGCATAGTCTATGCAAGGTTAGGTCCAATAATGTGTATAGATCGGGTAAGAGCAATGGCCCTGAACTTGCACATGGACCATATGAAGGCTGCAAACTTGCCAACAGGTGGGAGAAAAATGTGCCCAGCCTCTTGGAATCATCAGAAAGTCTGTCAGAACCCATGGGTTCTCCCTCTCCATCAAGCGTTGCAGATACCTCAGAATTTGAGATGGCGAATGTTGCTGCCTTGACGCCTTTGCCACTGAAGAGGATAATGAATATCTTCCAAGATATTCCAGGTGTAAGAGGTGAGCTACTGTACTTTACAAACCGCCCATATCCGAGACAGAGTTGGAGGAACTTGATCTGGTACTAAAACGCACCAGAAGGAGAAGTGGCTCAGTTGGTTGGGAATGGGAAGGATGTAGTGATTGTAGCGAGGTCAGCCACGTGGACCTCATAGAATTGAGATTCCTGATTGGACCAGATTAACAGTCCCAATTAGGGAGTCCTGGCTGACAAATAAAAACAGGAGTGTCAAAGATTCTGTTCACTCTGAGAGCTGGCTCTGTGGGAGCTGGATCAGTGTTAAGGACTCTCCAAGTGTAAATAAAGTGTGATTTGATGGCAGGATACTGGCCTCTGTGGAGTAAATTCACATATGATCAATAATACTTTTGGGAAAGCAAGTCAACTTACTCCAAGATAGTTCATGACAGCAAGGGCTATACCAGCTTCACACTCTACTTCTTCTCCAAAGCTATTCTGAAAGAATATGTAACTGACACTAACTCCTTTGAGCTGACCCTCCCGAGGTGTATGTGAGTGCTGCTGAGAATGGCGATCT